AAAATAAAAATTATTATATATATAATAATAATAATAATAATAATAATAATAATAATAATAATAATAATAATAATAATAATAAGCTATTAGTATACTACTGCTACTCCTTTATCCTATAAAATTAAAATTAAATTAAGTACTTATTAATACCCAGAGCTAACTTGAATTAAAAATATATAGAAATATAAATATACCACAAATATTTGACATATCAAAAGTCAAGAAGAAAATATATGAATATCATCAAATCGGTTTTTGACATCTGTTCTGCATAATCGCTATCTACTAATTAACATCAATTTATTCTAATCAAATATTAGAGACTACCATAGAAGGATTCCGATGTACTACTATACAAATATATTACCATAATACTAATATACTGCTATTCGACGTACTATTTGCATTTTGCCGTCATCTCTTAGCTCCGACACTGTGGAACACTGCTACGCCTCTTACCAGCCAAACCAGACTTTGCTTTGTGCTTTTGATCATCAAACCTTTGTTTGCTGGTTATTAGATAATGATGCTGCAGTCTCGGACAACACTCATGCTGTTCATTGCAAAAGACTAAGCCTATTAATGGCTACTATTGTTCTCATGTTATTTATATATATAAAAGATATAAATACTTTATTATAATCTTCCAGCGATCCGTTGTAGTCTAGTTGGTTAGGATACTCGGCTCTCACCCGAGAGACCCGGGTTCGAGTCCCGGCAACGGAAGTCTCTTTTATGTTTTTATTCCTGTTTTTGTGGTTTGTTATTTCTTTTCGTGCAACATCAACCTTTTTTGTTTCAGTTTTTTATTTAACTTTTCATTTATCTGTGTTTTGTTTTCCGCTATATGTTTTTTTTAATGAACATTTTTTTTATTTTGTCCCCGATTATTTTTTAAAAAATATATTTTACTATTATTTTCTACTTATCTATTCGTGGTATGTTAAGGAAAAAAAAATTTGATGATGTCTAAGTTACGATGATGTCTAAATTAGCTGCACGTGATTTGGATCTGTACGTATGAAGCGCATGTCTTCGAACTATCATATATATGGCCATTTATATGATCACATGTCCAATAATCATTGTTAGAATTTTAAGGGTCACACATGCATAATTAAATGTGTTAAGTCATTATTTTAATTAGTTAAAAATTAAAGTGATCTAATTAAAATAAAATTATTTAGCTAAGGGATATAATTATTATGAAAATTAATTGTGTGGACACCATCAATCATATTTCTAACTTAATGACGAGATAAATTAAGAATATGAAACTCTAATTATAGATTCATCAATTATGAATATAATCATAATTATAGATTCATCCGTTGTGATTATAAATAAGATTATGGTCCCCGATTGCAGTATCTAATGAAGTTTCTTTTCACCCGTCAAGACGAAATTGAAAGTTCTTAAGAATACTCTACAATTAAAAGATCAAATCACCGATTAATTTAGAAAATATTCTAATGGATTCATCAGGTAAGAATCTTGTTTTAATCTATAAAGCATGTTTGAATCAAAATTTAGTTTTGATTTTATAAAATAATTATTTGATCCATATTTCATACGTTAAAGAACCAAACAATCATTAGTTGAGAATATTTCTCCTCTCATAGTGCAATGACTTGTTTTTCTTGTTTTAGTTTCTTATACTTCTTCGTTTGTCTTTGATTTTGTTTTCTGCTTTATGTATTTGTAATGCACAATTGTATTTGCTTTTGTTTTTGTTTTTGTTTTTGTTTTCTACCCTAATCTGTTAACTGGCCAGAGATTGTATCTATGGATGACATAGATTAGTTAAGATCACAGAGACCACAGCGAGTGCATGAACGAAAGCAATGTTGAATGTGTTTCGACTACTGAAACAAATGTAATTAAAATAGTCGCTGATTCGAAGGCTTCAAAGATAGTAGAGACTGCAAGTGCCATATCCTGAGATGCAGCTGAAGAAGCTTATGGCACCAACTGGTCCTGAAATCCACCACTACCTGCTGATGACCTGAGCACAGGTTTACTGGCAAAAATCATCAACCTTAAGATAAATTTGCACTCATGGAGGTCAGCTTTGTATCAAATGTGGATCTCAAACCATCGGTATGTAGCTCTGAACCAGACATTAGAAATCGTCCAAAGCTATCTTACTCTGCTTTGGTTTTATTGACAACATATTTTCCAATCACTTGAACAGAAAAGAAAAGGCAGCATGCTGAGCGAGATTGTTTCCGCAGCACCACCACATGGCTCCTTGATGATCTCATTCTATCTTGAAACTTATTCTCATGGTCACCATCTTGTTTAGTCTTTTGCATCTCAAGAGGTACTCATTGATCTCCATGAAGCAGGGAGTGTGGCTGCAAATTGGAGACTGCATTTTGATAGAATAAAAATGTCAAGGTAGTGTCCAAATCACTTGAAGAAATACAGACAACACCAGAAGAGCTCTGTGATCTCTCACTCGCGGCAGATTCCATGACATCCCAGAATCTGCCACAATCATGATCTCAAACCTGCAAGTTCCTGTAGTTGGATCTTTCTCCGTGATCGTTGCCAAGTTCGAAAAATCACAAGCTACAGCATCCTGATCGTTCTTCTGGTAGAAACTATTGAATGCATACGAAATGTTGCCTTGTGCATCCAAGTTACCACATGAAGTGTTATAGCCCAGGCTGGTGCAGTCGGCATTGGCACAGGCATAGCTTACACTTGGAGCGATCCTGGAATCATCAAGGTTGACTGAAGGCTTGAGGACGCACCATTTCTTGTCAAGATATTGAACATTCAGAGCTCGAACCAATCCTCCGGACTTCGTCGTCCCAAGATTCAGTTGATACTTTGGTAAACCATCATAAGTGAAAATTCCCCAGTGCCGTTCAAAATTTCCTGGCTGGATGCTCTTTTCATCTTCGTCGATCAAACTGAAAAGGTATGCATCTATTGGTCCTGGTCTCACTGGCGTGCCCTGCCCCATCAGGATGTGGTTCATGAATCCCTGATTGAATCGTTGAGCATACTGAGGGTTTGCATTCATATCTCCATCTGTTGGCCAGCCGATCTCTCCAACAATGACAGGGAGATTTCCGTATCCATTTTTCTTCAGGGCCCAGATGAGAGTATCATGGTTTGCATCAAACATATTGGTGTAACTAGTTGTACCATCAATGACAGCGGAAGAATTTCCCTCGAAGAAAGCATAATCCACTGGGAAGTTTGGATCGCTGTAGAGGCTGATGAAAGGGTAAATGTTGACGGTGAAGGGGGCAGCATTGTCGCTGAGGAACTTAACAATAGCAAGCATGAGACCACGGATGTCAGAACGGAAGTCCCCATCAGATGGTCGGCCACTTGATGACTCGTAAACATCGGCATTAAGAGGGATAGTAACTTTGACCTGGCTGCTCAGACCAGCTTTGGTTAGAGCTCCTTGAACATTTTGGAGGGCTGGAAAGGTGGTCTGCAGAAAGCTCCCGTTGTATGTTTGCAAGAAAGGTTCATTTCCAACTGCAACATACCTTTTGACAGCAAATTTCAGATAAGAGAATCATTACTAATATTTAGGATAAAAAAATATTTTGAAGGTTTACTAATCTCCATTTCAAAATATTGAATCAATTTATTACATGCTAAAACATATGGAGTTCAAGCTTCCAAGTGAAACTGAGAGTTGAAAAATGTCAATCTAAGCAGCAGTACTCTTGATCTTATCTAATAAGTAATACAAACATTTGTAGATGCTTTGCATGTACGGACTACAAAGCAAATTAAGGAAAATCTAAGTCCACATGTTCTTCAGCAACCTAATTGTGCAGTTCCATACATATTTTTCAGCCATGGACTCGGAAAAGAAGTTGATATTAGCACTATCGGTTTACTCTTTTGTAGATCGTTGCTCTTTGAAACCTAAACCACTATAAACATGAAAAATATGCTTAATATGTGATGCGGATTAATATTTGCAAGACATCTTCATTTGATTGAAGCACACAGGAGGAACTAGCTAATTGGATAGCACCATTGATCCAGTTAAATGAACATTGGTGTAGGCTTTTACCTGATAAAGAGACGAGAAAAGGAAAGGTGGTTCATGACAATAACATGGATGCTCCAGAAAAGGAAGAAAAAAAGGTTTTACCACACTTACGGAACTGAAGCAAATTATGAGATCTGGAAAGGTACCTACAATTCATTTTATTGAAACCTAAGCTTCAGAGATGAAATTTTAGCAGTCCACAGCAACCTTTCTCCTAGCTGAAGAAAACACTCAGATCTAGAGGAAATACAATACAGACTGAGGACTAAAACCAAGTGAATTTGTGCTCAGAATGGAGATGTCAAGGTGATATGCCCTTCAAACTGTACATCAGCTCTCAGTCAGGTTTGTTCTGTTTAACATACTAAAACCCTAATCTCAATGCCTGTCTCGATTATGTATGTTCATAGATAAATTTTCTTTTAGCAGTCCACAATAAATAATGGCTTTCTGTTGATATTCATTTTGCCTAGCTGCAGGAAACACTCTCAGATCTAGAGGAAATACAATACTGTTGAGGACTAAAACTAAGTGATTTAAACTCAGAATGGAGATCTCAAGTTGGTTTGCCCTTCAAACTGCAGATCAGCTCTCAATTAGGCATGTTCTGCTTCGAATACTAAAACCCTAATCTCAATACCCCTCTTTTTATACAGGAAAGCATGGGAACCGGAAAGCTGATCATTTTTCCCTTTTTTGAGCATCCACAAGAGTTAGAAAAAGAAACCACACAGACTAAGCATGATAGAACAGAATCTAAGGAAGAAAAAGCACCTGATGTTCACACCATCATTGATGTATTCCGAGACATTCTTAGATACCCAGTTCTGTGCTGCCTTCGTACTGGCGGCCAGCACCGCAAGCATGTCATTAGGGATGCCAACCATCACCTCCAAACCACTCTTTTTCAGTGCATTCAAAAGCCCCTCATCAGCATCAAACAACTTCACCTTCTGAAAGCCATTGTTCTTGAGCATCTGAACCACTGTGTTTGGTGGAATTGGGTGGCTTGTCTGTGTCCCCCAGTTAGCTCCAATCCCACCCACACAAACCACAAAACAAAGCCAACAAATCATCCTAAAACCCACTGAAAACCACTCCATATTCCCCATAAATCCAGCTCTCAGATTTCTATACCACACATGAAATATAAAACCATTTTCAGAACAGCAAACAAGCTCTATCTTAGTACAAAAATCAAGTAAAAAAGACAGTAGCTTTTCAAGATGCAAAGAGGGAAAGAAAACCAGACATGGAGCTACACCAGGGACTGAGGTAGTTCGAAAGAGTTCATGGTTGTCTTAAAGATCTATTTCACAGCAATAGACAGAAACAGGGATGGGATGAAGCAATGCGACACGGAAGAACCTACAGGGAAATAGAAAAAGGTGAGCGAATTTTCGAAAAAGCCCTTCAGTTTGGGAATCTTCCACTCCCAATTTTAAAAATTTCGGTAGAATATTAATACTAAAAAAAGTATTTTATCTTTATCTCCATCGGAATCTCCCATGATTATAGTCATCCTCGGACATATAGTTGGAGAAATCTCAACTATTATCATGAGAAATCTTAGTTGTTATCATGCCCTCGTAATATGGTGCTCCGGTCAAAGATGTCGATATTCGACCGATGCGATAAAAATAGTTTACGAGCTAGAAGCTTTGTGAGTGAGTCTACTAGTTGATCATCTATATGTACATGAGAAACACGTACTTAATGTCTAACAACTTGTTCTCGTACGAAGTGAAAATCAATAGCTATATGTTTCATGAGTAAGTGGAATACTGGATTGGCGCATAGGTATGTGGCGCCAACATTATCACAATATATTGTAAGAGTAGATGTGGAGTTGATGTCAAGTTCTTTGAGTATATTTATAACCTAATTGAATTCTGCAGCAACAGTTGCAATAGCATGATATTCAACTTCAGTTGCAGATCGTGCAACTGTCTTTTACTTTTTAGAACTCTAATTTATTGAATTAACTCCAAGAAGGAGCATCGTATGAGTGGAGGGAGGTGATTTGCGAGGCTAGGCTACATGCAGAGGCATAGGCATGACTAGTAAGACCGAAAGGAGACGGACGATAAGACCAACCTATTTATGAAGATATAAGCAATCATTCATTGACAATTTACGAGGCAACGGATGACGATCGACGAAACAGAGGGCGATGATCGACAAGATATGATGATTTAAAAAATATTTGTTTAATTAAAAAACTTTACGATAAATTTCAAAATTTATTAAAAAAATTCGTCCAAGAAAGATTCTTTTACTGTACACACACTATTCTAAAAGCACCTACCTCACTCCTGCTGACACTGGCTCTGAATATAAAAACAAGGGCAAACAGAAGCAGCTGAAAGAGGGTTTCAGATAACATTAAAGCATGTTCAAAACACCAAACAGGCCTTAAACTCACAGCTAAACAGCACAGCATGCTGTCTCATACCAGCAGCCACTACAGAGATGAAAGAACAATCGATACAGAATCTTCTTTTGGTGGGTAATTATCATCTTTAAAGTTTATATAATGGCAAAAAGTTGAACTTTGTTTCTGTGGCTTATATTTTAGAGTGCTGCTCATCACCTACAGTGTATTCTATATCTTCCCACTGGGTGTTGGATATAACAAGATAATTCTTTTAAGTTAAGGTGCTTGAAAATGTATATCTTTTCCACTCTCTTTCGAAGGAAAAGGTGAGGGCTCAAATCAGTACTACCACATTTAGTGATCTAATGATCACTAAAGCCCATCATCAATGTAAGTCTTAGTGGAGTTCAGACAGTTTTTTTTTTCCTTTTTTAAACAAAATTTCAGCACATATCCCTGAATTCAGTAATTTTTATAATTCTTTCCTTAAATTTAAGTTTAAAAATCAATTTTCCTATAAAAAAATCTTTTATTTTTTATATTTCTAAAAAAGTATCCATTTTTTTATTTTTCTCAAAAAATATTATTAATTAAAAAATAATCTAAAATATCCCTTAAAAGGTTTTCTCATCAATTTTTTTTCTGTTCTTTTTTTTACAAGTTTTCAACCGTTACAATATTTTCATTCGGCTCGTTTATAGTATTTTATTGATATATTAAAAATACTATAAAAATCATTGAAAAACATCATAAATGACATAAAATCGTACCTCTTTGATTATCATCGCTCATACATTATTACGATATCATATTTTAAATTTATAATTTATTTAGTTGAGGCTAAAAGTTTATTTTGATCATTTATAATATTTTTATGTAAATTTTATGATTTTTTTTATGATGATCAAAATACTATAATAAACCAAAAACACTATAACAAGTGTGAAAAATTTTAAGAAATAATTTAAATATTTTTTAAATCAAGGATACCATTTGACAAAAAAATAAAATAAAGAGTTAATATTGAAAAAAATGAATGTTAGGTTTTAATTAGGCAAGATTTTTGCATTCCTGTTAATCTAACACTCAAAGTGATTGGTTCGTTGGGCTAATGTATCTTTAATCACGAACACGGCATCGGCGAAGCACGCATCTCAAAGTTGGCGACGAACCACTCGGGAACTCGGCACGTATCTTGACCCACCCTTCCCCCATCGCTCGGTGCGGTCGGGTTCCACAGGTGGCACCGAGCATCTATGCCCCTCGGGGACACGCATCGCAGCCAATCAACCTCGCCCTCTCCGGGTCTGATGGGCCCCATTAGTGTATGGATTTGTGGGGCGCCTAATATTTATTCCTCTGCAAACGTTTAATTAATGAGCTAATTTGCCTGATCCTATTTGGACCCGCCAAGGGGAAGATGGTGACCTGGAGTGTTAACGGGTTAAATCCATCTAGAAAATAAACCCGAATCCAATAAAAAGGAGCCAACAGTCATGATACGCCGAGTCAGCATCAAATCTTATGCGGACGATCGAGTTTTGCGGGTCTACGCTCGATAAATCCAATAACCCTATAGTTTTTAAGCTTGTGGATCCCAACCCGTAAAATTGAATCGGTCCGAATCCGAATCGTGATCTCGATTTCCCACATGCGTCAAAGAATAATAACACGTTAAAGAATTGCCTCCACCACTCGTCGTCTCCCCTCTTTTAGCCACTTCTTTTTCTTCTTCTCTTCGTCTTGTTCCTCGTCTTCTTCTGCAGTCTTCCAAGAGGAGAAGATGCATGCGCGTATGGATATCCTCAAGGCGCAGAGCCAACCGGCCTCCGGTGATCGATCCGAGGTCGATTCCGAGAAGAAGGAGGCGAAGGAGGAGGAGAGCGCAGTCCATCTCTCCCTCAGTGGCTCCGCCGCCGCCACCGAGGTCGGCATCAGGTAAGGAATGCTCCGATTCACAACAAAATTGAGCTTTGGGTCAATTGTATTGCGAATACATAGATAAAAAAACCATCTTTTCGGGTTCAATTTGATTTTTTGGGATTGGAACGTCTATGGTGGTCATAATTTTTGAGGAGTCGAGGAGATTAGGTTGATTCAATCGCTTTGTGAAACGTACGGGGTTAAATTGTAACAAGATCCTCTCCCACTTCACTGGATCTAACAATTTTCTACTGCTTAATTGGTGAAAGTTTCTTCTTTGATGCGTGTGCATTGAGAATGTTTACTCAATTGTTTTGTGGATGTTGTTTGAGGAACTTGCCGACACCGAAGCCGAGCCCTCCGGCGACCTCGCAGCTCATTATGTTTTATGGCGGAGCTGTCAACGTCTACGATGCCGTCCCTCCGGAAAAGGTGAGCCTTTTAGTCAGATCTATTTTCGCATGGTGGCTTCTGTGTTATGTGTTCTTAGTACCTGAGCTTAGTTCTGTTGGATACTGCAACAGGCACAGGCCATCATGCTCATCGCTGCAGCCACGGCGGTGGTGGCGAGGGCTGCCGCCAATAACACTGCTGCTGTCGCTGCTATCGCCAAGCCCCCCGTGGTAGTTGGTCCAGCTGCTGCCACAACTGCAGCTGCGGTGCCGGCTGCACCAGTGCTCACGAGGACTCTGTCATTTCTCAGCTCTTCAGCTGCGTCGAATGGTGCACCGACGCAGCCCCAACTTGCTCCCAACCCTAGCAGTCCTCTCTGCAAGCTGCAAGCTGGTCAAGCCACCTTCTTCCTTTGTTCTTAGTAGCTACTGATGCATCGATTTTACGTTTATGCTTTGACTTATTGGAATTGATAATTTTCATTTTTACGCAGAGCTCCCAATTGCAAGGAGGCACTCACTTCAGCGCTTCTTGGAGAAACGTCATGACAGGTAATTCCTTCAACCTCTCAGTAAAAAAGAGGTAATAATCAATCTCTCCTCTTTTATGGATAAAGAGGAGAAACAAGAAATGCTGAAATATCCTTCTCCTCAACCTTCCAGAGTGAAAGAGATAGGAAATTTGAAAGAAATCATTCCTCCCTTTCTCGTGTTTCTTTCCTATTTTCTGCAGTGAAATGAGAGTTACTGTCAACGTAAACAGACTTTTAATAAGAAACTCTTTTGACAAATTAGTGTGGTTCTCTAATTCTACCAGACGGATCAATTTGCAATTGTTGGACCATGATAAGTGTTTATGATGATTAAATTTGTGGATTGTGGTGAAACTTCAAAGTACTCTCAAACACGATTGACAAAGAAAGGAAAAAAACGAAATGGAAACCACCTTTAGGGTGTTTATATTGTAATAGATTCCGGCATTTGGAACCTAGGACATCAGTTTTTTCCTGCTGGTCATTGCACGGGCTTGTATTAGTAACATTATTTATTTTTCTTTTTAGCGTGAATCACTTTTCCATAATTCCATTTTTTCCGCTGCCCTCCTTTTCTTTTGATTCTCACAAAGCAGTTAAAGCTTACCTCACATTGAGGTAAGAAAATCTTTCACACAGAAAGCACTTACCCATCATAAAGATATCTCATGCACATATGTGAAGTTGATACTTTGGTTTTTCTCCTTTATCTGAGGTGCTTTGATTTCCTTAATAAATTATCTGTGGTATCATTACTGCACTCTTTCTTCACAGTTTAAATGCGCTTGATTCGTTCATCCCTTTAGACCTCAAACTTAGTGAAGATTTCTAATATCTGCTTGAGCAGGGTGGCGAGCAAAGCACCCTATGCATCCGTCAAGCCCTCGGACGATGTGGATGTGGCTTCTGAGGGACAGCCCCAACTCATTTGATCACTTTCTAATGGCTGTACGTATCTGGAATCTCATAGGCAACCATGCATTGACGTCTTGTTGTAAGCTACTGTGTTTAACTTGTAGTAGATCGATGAACTTTGTGTGTGATATGTAGTTCTGAATGGCTATCTGTCTTTGTATTGCCAGTCCATAATGCTTATGTGATGATGCTTCAGAACTGGAGGCCCTCTAAATTGTTCTCTGAAACCTTGTTTACTGTGAATTGAATTCTGGAAAATGGGATTTTATTAATCATATTTTTGTATTTCTCTTGTTTGCAACAATGAGTTAATAGATTTGACTTAGAAATCTCTTGTTTTTGTCTGGAGTGTCAAGCGACGAAAAACAAATCATGTGACTTAAGAGTTGCATATGGATGAAATTTGCTTATTTAAGATAGACTATTTCCTTAATGCTAAATTAATGTAAAGCTTCAATAAACAACATTGTACTTGTTTTTCTTTCTTCTATTGTAGCATAATTCTTCTGTCATCGGCGCAATCTTGATCTCGACTAAATTTAACTGATTTTTTTTTTCTTTTTTGAGGTATTTGATTTGTATATCGAATGAAATGTATACAGCAAAACAATAACTCAATTTATTTGTTGATTTTTTTGCTAACATCACAGACTTAGTTCATCTTTTGTTTTGTCCCAAACACAAATCACTTTCAGTTGGAACTGAATTTTGAATCTAGCTAAGTTGAAATCAGTTCCATTAATCTGAAACTAATTGTAATTGAATTCAAGTCATCAAATTTTATATGAAAGTGATTCTGAACAGTGTCATTCAATATTTTTGAACATGAGCTAACAGCTTGCAGCAATTTATTTGCAATTGTTGCCTCCAAATTACAAGATGTGTGGCAACACTGCAACAGCATAATGAAGTTTGCAAGACTAACTTCAGTTGCTTGCATAGTCATCAGAATCAAACCAAACATCGATTTGATTAAGTCTCGGATTATTATTAGATCATTGGTTGAATCGATGGATTAACAGACAATCATATGATTAATATATTTTTTAAAAATATATGAACAAAAACAAATCGTCTTAGTATATCGGCTGAAAATATTTTTCTTAAAATGGATATTACTCTATTAGATACATACAAAGAGTATTTGCTGTGCCTTTTCTCTCTTCCTCGGCCTATCTTTCTCTCTCCTTCCAAATCTCGTAAGCATGATCATCCGTACGTAGCTCATGTCTGCATATGGGACAAGAGTTGTGCTCATCCTGTCAATCAATTACAAGAATAGTCGATGTAAGCTAAAGAACTCAAAATGATAACCAAATTGACGGTTCTTCGTAGTGCTTGATGATCCAAAGACTGTTTCAGAGAACCAAGAGTAAGAGAGTGGCTACCAGCCATGGCTTCAGACAAGGTGGATGGAACAGATGCTTGCAAGGCAACTCCTGCATCTTGTCATCTACAGCCAAGTTCTCCCAGCAAACAGCACACTCTGTCTCACTGCCTAACCTGGCAATGATTTCCTCGGAGGCAGGTGGTGGTGGTCTCTGCGGTCCGCCACCGATTACCTGAAATCACCAAACAGTTTTGTTGAATCAAAACTTAGATTTCTGCCATCCCAAATCGGACTTCAACATCTCCTATGAATTTGCATGCCATGTGATATGAGCTCGAAATCAAAGCAAAGCACACCTGCAAAGAAGCTTCGATGGCACTATCAAGGTCCGTAGAACCACCTATTTCTTGCATATTATCGATCGACTCTCTGACAGATTCATCAATTTCCACCCCTCCAGCATTACTGTGTTCCTCCTGACCTCTGGAAGATCCAGACGCAGAAGCCAAATCTTGGGCAACAGCAAGCCTGGTGAGCAAGTTCTGTGCTACAAGCCACAGTCAGATGCCCCTCAAAAAGATATCTCGAAGACACAGAATAAGCAGCTGGTTAGAAACATACTTACTGACAGTAAAACATTGACACCATCAATCAATCAAGTAAACCAACAGAGGTAATTACCCAACTTCAGTTGGAGGTAATTCTCATGAAACAACGCCCATGATCACAAAAATGGTCCAGCTAGTGTAAATCCCACAATGGAGCTCACTAAGCAGAAAGTAAATGTTCTTTGAAGTAGAAATAGTAGCAGCAGGTCTTGTGTCTGACAAAGGGACCTCAGTTTGCATCTCATTCAGATGCTGCCGTGCTCCGGCAATGCAGTTTCTCATACGCTCCTCCTTTTCAGAAGACTCGGTTACTAAATTCTCCATTTCTTCGAAGAGCCTTAGGCCAATGATCCAGAATCCAGGTGCTGTATATCTACTCTGAAGAACAGTAGCAACTCGGCAAATTGTGGAATACATCTGCAAAGGAAGATCAATTACATATAGATCAAAGTGAATCAACTTTCAAGCCAAGTGCATAAGAGGTGAACTTCCTCTTGTATCAGTTTCTTATGCTTGGAAAGGTTGCAGAATCTCATAGAAATAGGAACCCTTTCGAACAAAAAATCAAATGCAAGTGATGCAACTCAGAATGAACCAATCTACAGTTTCTCCGATGAGAATAAGGCTTTACATAATCAATGCAAACCCAAATTCTCAATGGCTTTAAAGATCAAATAACCCAAATGAGAGTACGAGGAAAAAGATATCGATTTACGAAGAAATGAGGATGCAGAAGGGTGTACCGACTCCTCGAATCACTGCTCTTCCCTAGCATCCTCCGTGGTGCATACTACTATGAATCTAAGAATAAATCATAATTCGAAAACCTTTAATACTCGTATTGGAATCTAATATCATATATCAAGGATAGATGTTCTAATGTCAATATTGATAGCGGATAAGATTTTTCCAACTATACGAGGAAATCTCTCTACTCTGTTGAGGAAAATCTTCCCTCCTAATCTGTATAAATAGGAGAGGACATGTTAATGCATTCAAGCTTCTGCAATAAAGCTTCTTCAATAATTATTCTTATCTTCTATTCTTTTCAACAAATATCATTGTCTTCAGCATCGTCAAAGAATTCATATACTCATATAAAAATTATATTATTTCTCTATTTTGATCAATTAAATATAGATCAATCATAAAGATGAGATAATAGATCTATAATGATGTGATATCATATAAGAAAATATTCTCAAGGTTATACATTTTTTTAGAGAATTCACGAATAAATAGATAATAGATGCATTTGAAATATATGAAAAAAATTTATCTCGTAGATTTGTCCAAAATAATATATATAAATATTATAAATAATATTTAAAATATTGGTGTGGTGATATATGCTCGCCCAAACCAAAACGTAGCCGCCAAGAACACGACTCCAAGGAGGGCTATATCGTCATTTCGGGGTTTTCATCGTCTCCACGTGCCAACTTCTTCTTCGTCCTCCCTCTCCTCGGCGTTTCCCAGCCTCTCCGCGGCCATCACTCTCTGGTTTCTTCGAGCTGTTCAGCAACTCTGGTTTCTTCGAGCTCCTTTGCTGGATCGAAACCCTAGCTCGCTCTTCAGACACATCTACGCATGATCCTCCGATATATCCCTTCCCTTTTCGATCCCCAGACGGCTCTTCTCCCCCTCAACCGCCTCTCGCCTCTTCGACGGAACCCTCGGGTCCGAGAGGCGCTCCTTCAGACTCGGCGACGGAGGCGGCGGCGGTCCAAGCTCAGCGTCCGCTCCGCGCTCGATGACCTCGTTCGCAACCTCGTCTCCGCCTTCCCCTCCCCGGCCTCCCTTGACCTCCTCCTCACTCCTGCGATCGGCTTGGCCGCCGGTGCTGCTCTGTACCTCTCTTCACTGCAGAAGGGAACAACTGATGTCGATACCGTGGTCGGAGAGTGGGTCATCTTCACGAGCCCGACGCCGTTCAATAGGAGCGTCCTCCTCCGGTGCCCCTCAGTATCGTTCGAGGATGGCGGCGAGCTCTTGGGTGATGGTGTTAACGAGAAGCTCCTCACGGAGGAGCGCCACTACATGAATCTGGACCGTGGGAGGATGACTGTTGCGAGAAAGAAGGGGGAAGAGGGACCAGAGAAGAAGATGCAGTACCAGAGGGTCTGTGTGGCGACCGACGATGGAGGAGTGATCTCACTGGATTGGCCAGTAAATTTGGAGTTAGGGATGGAGCATGGACTGGACACGACAGTGCTAATTATACCAGGGACAACTGAAGGGAGTATGGATAGAAACGTGAGAGCTTTTGTGTTTGATGTCCTCCAACATGGCTGCTTTCCAATTGTTATGAATCCAAGGGGCTGTGCCAGTTCGCCAGTGACAACACCAAGGTATCTTATTTGTTAAATTCTTTGACTAAGCTCAACTTATTTGATGCAACAAATTCAAGCACTGCAAAGTTAAGCTGATGAAGTAAATTCCAATGTTAAACTGAAGCTGTTAGTGTTATTGCCGTGATGCCATTGACCGGGAGTCGGCACGGCTTGATTCTGTCCCGAAGGTGCAAGTTCGTTCTGATGGCATACGTGGCGGTTATGAGAGGTGGTTGGGGTCGGGGAAGGTCTGGCTAAAGCGATCCCGAGGTGTTTTTTTGTACGTCCGAGTTCGATTTTGAGTCGGGCCTAGGTGATCTAGGCTTGCTCGGGGTTCTGGGGATGAGCCGAGGTGTGGTTTGGCTTTGCCGGGAATCCTGCACAAGCGGTCAGTGTTATTGGAGTTCCTGACCCGACCCCTCCGATGGTAAAGTTAGCTTTGAATGGAGTGGGAACATGAGGGTTTTTGTGTGTTGGTCCCTTGCTTAGACCTTGGGGATTAGCTTTTATACCTGAGTAGCCGGTGAAGAGAGGTCGATGACTGATGAGGACGGGCATGTACATCCTTCGGGGGCTCATTTATGCAGACGACCGGTTGGTACGGTTCCCTATAGTGCACCATCAGTAAAGGACGATTGCGAGGGCGTCGCTTGTCAGTGTAAGCGCCTGCCCGGGATAAGCGGATGGCGGTCGCCTGCGCTAGGGACCGGAAAGGGGGCAAACAGGCTTTGCCGTCAGGGGTTAATGCTCCTGTCGATCGGCTTGTACCACCTTTCCTGAAACTACGGTTGGCCAGAGGCGTAAGTTTGCTACCCTGCCGTTCGCCGCTAGGAAAGGGAGATGCGTGCGTTATTCTGCCCATGTCATCGTCTAGGTGGCAGCGGGTTGTCGGGTGAGTCAGCAGGTCAGTGCTAATGTCATCATATTCCCTATCAGTTAGAAAGCGTAGTTGATAGCTAACTTAACACCATGGATGTGAAACATGGACAAACAGGATGGCAGAGACAATCGAACAACCCCATGATCTTATAAACAGAGTTCTTGCTTTTAAGCTTTTCAAACCATGAGTGCGCTATTGTTAGAATATGTCTAGTTGGCAATATGAAGTGATTAAACGTGATAAGTGGAAGGCCAAAGGCTGATATCGCTGTATTCATTGTTGAGGAATCAGTTGAAATATTACAGAACCATCTAGAAGCTAAATTGTCATATCATAAATCTAAAAGATAGGGAATGGATGGATTTTCTTCCCAGGCCTTGTGGTGGCAGGAGTTGATGGGCTAGACTATACATTTTCTTAAAGAAAAATCAGCTTGTCTTGTTTGACTGGAAAAGAAAAAACAGTTACTTTATCAAAGAATATGCAGAGTTGTTTTAGAAGACTCTGAAACAAATTGCAACTCTTGTTATGTTAAGTTTTAAATTGCTATTCATAAATCTTTCTGGTTAAATCAGTTAAAAGTCATTAACTTTTGCATAGACCTATCCATGCTTAATCTCAACATTTGTTGTTCAAATCTCTATGATTGGTTGTGAATTTTCTCTAGACACAACACTTTCTTTCAAAAAGGAATGTTGAGACGTAGAGATTCATGAAACTCCTTTGTTTCTTCTGTTCTTATATCAAAATTGTTCATTGTAAGTCTATTCAAGGTTCGTCGTACCACGGTGTACCGTTTAGCATGGGCTGCACGTACCTATCCAACAAGGGACCGATATGGGCGGTACATCAATACGCTCCTATGTATAATGTGTTGGTATGATTTGGTACAACTCGGTACGTACTGTACCAATAGCTGATCGGTACATTGGTATGAACCGGTAAGGTGAACCATGAGTCTATTAATAGGTTACAGAAGATGCTTTAGATTACTATTGCCTAAATTTAAATATTCTGAGATTGTCCTCAGAAATTATTCCTTTTTGGATTTCCACAGTTTCATCTTCCTAGTAAAATGAAAGAAAGATTACTGAGCGCTGATGAGCAGATAGTTGAACAGAAGTGGGGAAGAGGAACTAGATTTCTTCCAAGGACATCTATTTTCTAAGAGGAAACTAGAGCAGCAAACTTATACTGTTTTGCTTGATGAGTTTACTCTCTTGAAAAGCATGTTCTTTGTTTTTGTCTAAATTCTACCATATTATAGTGAATAGTTCATCATGGATGATTATAGGGAATTATTTGATATTGGACTTTGGAAGGTAATCTTCTAGATATTCTTGGAAAACATGGAATTTAGGAGTATGCTATAAATGGATTTTTTGAAGTCTAGAAGCTACTAGTGACATCATTTGTCCATCATTTTTCCTTAGCAACATGTTTAGGGTGAACCAAATAAATATTTTGACCTTTAAGGATGAAGGATCTAAATATTTGGAAAGAAATAAAAGGCACAGCACAATGATAGTTATGAAAAAATATTACTGCTTCGGCATTGTTAGAAGACATCTTTCAAATAATCTTGATTATTGGGAAGGCAAATGTGCCAATATGTTAGTGAACTAGAGTAGGATCCTCAAATTCTGTATATATATAGAGTTCAAGATAGTTGGACTGGTATGAAAAGAACAATAATGGCTTGACTTAGACCTTATTTACTTAGATTTTTGCATTGGGGGAAGTGAACGCAAAATACATAATCAGGTGGAAGACTTGGGTCCACAGTTGGGATCCCATGAAAAAGCTAAAAAGATCATATTAGTTTATATCAAGGTTTTTAATCTCGTACTATATTGATGTAGTACGGTACGGGGTACCGAGTGGTACGTCAGGGTGTACTGAGCGGGGTATGCATAAAAAAAGAAATAATTTTAGTTACACCCACTGCTCTCTCCAAACCCTTAGCCTTCCTTCTCCTCGTCGCCTCGGCTGCAACCTTCTACGTCAAGGAGGTGGGGAGGAGAAACCCTTCCTCGTGGAGGTGGCCTTCGGAAGGGTTACAAAGGTTTCGGGGTCTTCGCCGCCTTCCTCGCGGTTGCCTTTTCCGCTGCTCTCGCCGCCACGTCCCTTGATCCCCGCACCTCCAACTCCTTCTCCAAAGAGGTACGACTCTCCTTGTCGTTACCTCCTGGTTCTTGATAAGGGATTAAATCTTTCGTGTTGGTCAACCGATGAATTGATCGCCAGGGATCGGGATTGGGATTGTTGAGGGAAGGCGATGTTGGATCGGGATCAAGAAAGGGCGTGGTAAACAAATTCGCGCCGAGGTTCGATGGGCTCAAGTTCATCGAGACGTTGGTGACGGCGCATCGGTGACTCCGCGGTCCTCTTTCTCAATGCTTCTCCCTCTTCTTCGAAGTTCGAACGCTCTCTTCTTCCTCGCCTCGCCATAGCCAAATACCTGATATCGCCCCGTAGCGAGCGGTTTGCGTGCCGGTCAACTAGTGGACCGGTACGTCCCACCCGTACTGGGCGGTACAAAACAGTACTAAAAACCTTGGTTTATATATATATATATATATATATATATATATATATATATATAGGTGATGTTGCCAAGGTGACGTCGCTGAATTTTTATTATATTATAATATATATATATATATATATATAGCTGATGTTGCCAAGGTGATGTCGCTGAATTTTTATTATATTATAATATATATATATGTATATGTATATATATATATATATGTATATGTATATATATATATATATATATGTATATGTATATATATATAAGTATATGTATATATATATATATTATGGATCGAGTAAAACTGACATTCTCAACAGCAAATGGACCTTCCTTACTGCATTCATAAGTTTGTATTAATTTCTAAATGTTTTTGAAGAATGTTTTTGGTCATCTATTGCTTTCTGTGCATATTTACTCAAGTTAGAATAGCATATCTATCTAAAACCCACGATGCATTTCAAAATTTAATTTTGACTATGTTATGTTTTATAGGTTTCTGCAGAAATGTTGAAAACTTTGTTGCTTAATAGTATCAATATGAAAAGCATATGCTTATTGACTTGCTAATAATTATATCCTAATGCAAATATCAAAAATAGGAATGTCTAACAAATGTAAACTTGAAGGGCATATGAAGGTTGAACAGGTAATTAGCTTCTGTTTCAGGAAATATGCTGTAAACTTTATCTTGTTAAGGGAATTATGATGGCTCAGACCTTGCATTGTTTAAATTGGTAGAAAAGCCTTATTGTTTTGAAGGTTTCATTGTGCCATCTCTTATGTGCTTAAACCTAGCTGATTGAGAAAAAAAATATAATAATTTTCTTCTCCAGGTTGGACAGCAGATATTCTTTAGTGCTTTAGTTGTTTCAGATTAGTTCTTTTCTGGTACGTTGATTAGTTAGGTTTCTAGCTCAATAATAACATTGGTACCTCCATTGTATTTGACACTTAAAACACCATATATTACTAATTTTCGCCACATAATATTGGTAAAAGAGATTTTTTTTTCAGTAATTGATTGTAATGTCAAATGTGCATTCTTCGTAAAAGAGTTTGAAAAATAATTGCAGGTTATTTACAGCTGCTGACAGTGATGATGTCTCCACAGCTGTCCGATTTGTCAGCATGGCAAGACCCTGGACAACAGTGATGAGTGTCGGCTGGGGTTATGGTGCAAATATGCTTACAAAATATCTTTCTGAAGTAGGAGAGTCAACTGTCCTAACAGCTGCTGTTTGCATAGATAACCCATTTGACTTAACTGAAGTTACAAGGTCATTCCCTCATCATGTTTCTTTGGACCAAAAGATTAGAAGTGGATTAATAGATATTCTACGAGCTAACAAGGTAGCTGCTTGTTTCAGATAATAATGATCCTGAATGCATCTTTTTTGTGATGAATGGTGATCATATATAATTTTAGGGGAAAAAACCCTTATGCATACTTTGTAGAAATACAAAGCTATGGTCTGAAATGTTTAGTTTCTCATTGGTCCAAGTTTATTGCTTGGAAAAGATAACTTACATTCATTCTTTCAGGAACTCTTTCAAGGCAAAGCTAAAGGTTTTGATGTTGGAAGAGCTTTATCAGCAAAATCTGTTCGTGAATTTGATGGAGCTATATCAATGGTTTCTCATGGGTATCATACAATTGAGGACTTCTATTCAAAGATCAGCACAAGGAAGTTAATTGGCAATCTTAAGATCCCTGTGCTTTTTGTACAGGCATGTATATAACTAATGTTTTGTTGCAGAGTCTGCCATTTTTATGCAGACAGTTTACTGTAGCCCCACCTACATGATCTGATACTAAGTTTCCTTTATGTATAACCTTTGTGCGATGTAGAACACATAGTTAAAAATTCAGGGCTTCGTATGTGTGTCTAAACTAAGGTACTGATATCCATTAGCATAATTTGCTTGTTTGCTTTTTTTCCAGTGCTCCTGGTATTAATTATGTAAAAACTTTTGGATTTTTGTTCATGGCAGTTTATTGCTTGCAAACAAGAAGCACTCTGCTGTGTCATGAACATAAACCAGCCTTGGACCAGCTGGTACTGTACCATGCAGCATTTTTCTGGTCTTTGCCACTGCCAAAACAGAGCTGTTTGTTTCTGTTTTCTAAGCCCTTTTACCTTGATTTCTTACCACTTGTCCATTTGTCTTAAGAGTATTCCGTTTAATACTCGACCTACACTTGTGCAAGCTGGTCTTTGTGTCAGCCTATGCCCATTTTTCATAATAATGGTTAGTACATAGCGTACAAGCATACCATGATATACCACTCCAATATCCTGCTGACATGCAGGCACAAATATCATTTATAGCAACATCAAATATAGTTGTTATGAACTACTCTGTCACCTCAGGATAAATTGAATGATGGAAGAATTTTGTTATTTACTTCATTCCCTTTTGTCAATAATTTATATAATTAGATCATGTGGCTCATAGCAAGCAGCTGCATCATGTCTTGTCCCAAAGGCTCATTAATGACGATAGTTGTTCATATGCCAAATAAGTAATATAATGTGTTGAACAGATTTTTGGTATGAGAAAATGTTGCTTTCTTCATGAGTTTGATTTGTTGTAACAATCTATTATACTTTGCTTACAATTAACTATTTGCGAGGCTTCTTGTAAGTTATAATCTGAGATATGGTTCCCCTAGTCTGTGGGGATTACTAGCTATGAGAATCCTAAAATGTTGAGAAAATAAAAGTGAGGTGTTAACTTGTCTTGCTGGCCTGTTGCAGAGAAAAATAAGAAGATTATTCTGATGTTATTGGTCAGTTGAGGGGTTGACTTTTAAGAGTAGGGTCTAAGATGGCCTTAGGTAGAATTCTGATTGTGTTGGACTAATCTTAGTGCCAGCAATTTCAGTGTCCTATGTATTCATGTGTCATTCAGCTACAAATGTGGTAGACCATGTTACCCCTGTGTTGGTTACTTTGCATTAAATGGTGTTAGAATTTTTGGGTACTGTTGAGTGTTGATTATCATAAACCATTGTCTATGCAAATTTATATTCACAGTTTTATGGGTCAATTCAGCTTTAGGGTGATTCATTAAGTTATATTTCAAGAAAAGAAGATTTTGTAGTCACAATCTGGTGAATTTTCAGACTTTGGAGTTTGAACTTTGAAGAAATAATAGATCTATGTTCATTGAAAGTCGAGACCAATTTGTTACAGCAGATTAAAAGAGAAAGGGGGTAGATAAAGGATATAGATAGGTGTGAAGGATTCAAATATAAAGAGGAAGGAGCATTATAACAGTTTGATCTGCTAGTATTTATGGTAGCAAGGTAACCAGATTGGTAACAAGTAGTTCAGCTCATCCGTGAGAGGTCAAATTTGTGGTTTCAGAATAAAGTTAAAAACTCTGAGCTAGTTTCTAGGGCTTGCCAATGGATAACTTAACATGACTTCCTAGGACATTCTTATGGATGCCCAACTGCTCTCAAGTTTTTGGTTTTTGCATATTTGGCTACTGAGATGAGACTAAATATGTAGATTATGACTCCCATGAGCTTTAGCTTGAATGATTGCCAAGGAAGCTGAGACAAGCCAGACAATTGAACACTAGGGCCAGCTAGGCTTTTTTTTGACATCTTCAATGTTCTCTTTCCCCTTCTTCCTTCTTTTTCCTGCAAATTAAGTACAATCCCATGCATTTTTTAATACAACTTATGATTTTTTTTCCATTTATGGTGCTACTTTACAGAGTGATGATGGGACCGTACCAACTTTCTCTATTCCACGTGGTTCGATAGCAGAAAATCCATTTACAAGCCTGCTTCTTTCTTATTACTTGCCATCAACTGGTATCACAACAAAGAATTCTGCTATTCTTTGGTGCCAACGTCTTGCTATTGAGGTAATCTTTAACTTCTGGTTGTTGATCTGAATTCTGAGTTAATACAGGTTGACACAAACAAAACTTGATAGTCCTCATATGCTGTCACTAGACGTGAACATTCGGCTTTAATTGACCTACTACTAAAGACTTAAGCACTTCGGTCCCATTCTTAATCACATTTATATGAGCAATTGGGCTATCAGGCTACTTGGATCATGATAAACGTGATGTTAAAATGCTGATATGTTTTTGGTTTGTGGGCCACATTAGAACCTACAGTAAGTGCATGATGAAGGACAATAGAATTAGCATAATGGGCTTATGATGCCCTTGGAATCCATGCCATCTATGTTGTTCTTGGTGATCCAATGGCCTTAATGAGAATGTCAGGGATTTGAATGATGTAGATTGTAAAGCTCCAATTAGTCCCATAAGGAACATGATTAGATTGTAGATACTACATAACTCATTCTCAATCTAATGGCTGCTTCTCAATACTCCCTTATGAGTTCAAGACCTGTGTAGTTTCAGGCTTGAGTTATTACCTATTACTTTAAATTTATGTTTCTAAATAAAAAATGATATCCAGAAAACTTATCTCAATGGATAAATAACTATTGCTACAGAACACTATTTCCATTATCAGCACTCAATTATCATAATCTCTGTGTTGAAAGTTTGTAATGGTACTTGATTAAGTAAATATGTAGTCATGTACACAACTCTAATAGTTATAGCAGTTTTCTTTTTTCATGATTCTGCATGTAATCTGTGCAGTGGATATCAGCAGTGGAATTTGCACTTTTGAAAGGCCGTCATCCTCTTTTAAAAGATGTTGATGTCGCCATCAATCCTTCAAAAGGTTTGGCATTTATTGATGACAGAACACCAGAGAAGAGTATCTCAAGTGGTGTGAAAGGGAGTCATAATTCCTCTGGAATGTATATAAGCCATAAGAGTGCAGATAGGCAAACTTATGGGAAGCTTTCCCAACCAAGTCCTGTAAATGGATTTCTCAATGATTCTGTTGATATTGCACTTAAACAAAATTATGCTGCAGTTCAAGGTGAAGCTGATGATAACTTGGATGCAAGAAGCAAGTTACAGCAAATAAAGAGCGCAGATAATGAGGGAACAAAAAATAGCAGAAGTATTATGGATTTCAAGAATGAAAGTGCAGCTAATGCCATAAATGAAGGAGATGATGATGGAAACAAGGTTTTACAGACTGCAGCAGTTGTCATGAATATGCTTGATATTACTATGCCCAGCGCGCTTGATGATGAACAAAAGAAGAAGGTATATACTTTTAAGTTTTAAGTGCAAAAACACATTCTAAATTATTCAGTTTTTACCATGCATTATTGCAGCCGTGGCTATGTCCACCACTAGCTTGTGAGTTTAAGCTCCAGGTTACTCAGGTTACTAGATCTAGAGTGAACTACAGTTTGTGCCTTGAAACTGTAAACAACGAAAGGAAAAAAGTGCTTGAATTGACTCAGTTGTTTGCAGTTAAACTTTGTCACTTTTCCTTGTAAAAGGTTGAATTGACTTAATGATTTTACATTTATGAATTGTACCTTGGATTGGTAAGTCTTACGGAACTCATGAAGTATGTAGCAGCTTGATGCTTCCATCTTGTGTAGATCACATATTGTGAGAGTTCAAATATCTATCTGATCACAATACAAATTTAATTTACTGATACATGGCTAACTGCAGCATGTAGCTTTTTCACTCATATTAGTCTGGGGATTGCTAGATGTAGAGTAAATATTTGGCTTGGCATTTTACTTAAATTCAATAAAAAAAGAGAAGTTCTTGAGTTGACTCGGTTGTTTGCAGTCATGTTTTGTCAAATTACCAAGTCTAGGAACGAATTGACTTGAAGGTTTTGCGTCGTATGGGAGAAGTATTGTTGAACTCATGCAGCATGTGGAAGATCCATCATGTAGATATCTGTCTTATTAAAGTTATCTTGATCATACATGTTTAATTAGTTTCACCTGAGTTATGAAACCATCAGATTATTGAATTATTTTCACTTAGCATTGCTAGAATAACATAATAAGTCCATCTTCTTGGTGCTCAATGGAAACCCAACTTGTCGTATGTTTCTTTGAGATGTTAACAGTTACATTGATGCTTCATGAACATATAAGTAGGAGTTACACATAACAAGATAGATGATACATTCTTTCTAGATGTTACAACATACAAGAAAGATAAAACTGGAGAAGCTTGTTAATATAAGAGCACTTGTACTGAGAATTTGTCTTTTAGCTTGAGTGAAGTTATGGGATTGTCTTAACCATCACAAAATGCATTCAGTTCTGCTGTACACACACAGGGACAACATCGTAACGGTTCCGACTCTCAATCTTGTAGCTTGTATCCATTTTAATTATTTTAATTTGCTTATAATTAAGCTGACGAGTAGCATTACTTCAAACTTTTATCCAATGATGGAGTGATGCATTTCTTGTTCTTTTATTCTATTATGCAATAGTTTTCTGCCAGACTTGGCCAGTGACTCTTAGTTGCACATGAAAATATCCTGTTTTTAAGGCAATGCATTATAGCTATTTGATGCACTCATACAATGTCTAAAACGGTCTAGACATATTTATTGCTTGTTCTCATTATTCTGTTGATCAACTAAACATGAAAGTTATTGTCTAGAAATTACTGCAGTTTGTTATGGTAAAATCACTTGCGCTTACTCAAATCTTTGTGCGAGTTCCAATTGTATTTGTTGGTTGTCTCTCTGTTCTTTGTGGAGTGTACTTGGTTTATTTTAATATAATTAAACATTCTTCTATATTACTTTAGGTTCTTTCCGCTGTTGGACGAGGAGAAAATCTCTTGAGAGCTCTTCAAGGAGCTGTGCCAGAAGATGTACGTGGAAAGCTGACAAGTGCTGTAACTGAAATTTTGCAAACTCAGGGTACAAAATTGAATCTTGAAGGGCTCAATAGAATTGATTGGATACCTAATGTTACATCAAAAGTGAAGTCAAGGATCCAGGATTCAATACAAGAAATTTCGATAGTTAATAGAGGAGATAATGAGAGCAATTCAGGTGTTGACCATGAGGAGAAAGTGCAAAGTGATACAGCAGAGTTCAATTCAGCCAGAAACCGTATGCCAGAAAGCATTAAAACCTCAGAACAGAGAACCTCTCAATCTCCCGGAATGCTTGAAGCTGGATATGAACCAAGCCAAGATATTAATTTGGAAAGGTCAGGTTATATGGTAGATGAAACTGCTGCTGAGCAGCAGAAGATTAGTCAAAACCAAGGAATATCTGATAGGCACAATGAAGATGATAAAGATCTGAATAATCCATGTCAAGTCCATAATGGTGAAGGGAAAAAATCATCTCACACCGAGGAGCAACTTGTCTCAATTTCGGTATCTAATACTGAAGAAGAGTCACTTTCATCAGGCATGTCAGCATCAGATCACCAGATTATGCCACAAGAATCCAATGAACTACAGAAGAATGAAGACAAAAGTCCTCAAGATTTGCGTCAAAATTTACATAATTCTACAAAACTGAATGAAAATTCTCCACAACATTCTTCTTCTGAGACCCCTTCTATCAGTGTTACTCAAGCATTAGATGCCTTGACTGGATTTGATGACTCTACCCAGTTGGCAGTTAACAGTGTCTTTGGAGTGTTAGAGAATATGATTGATCAATTAGAGAAGAATAGCAACGAAGGAGATGATGATGAAATGAAGAGAAGTAAGGATGAGGAGTCTCAAACTCTATCACCTGGCTTGCCCACCGTCAACAAAGACAATTACGGGAGGGTAGAGCACAGAAACAATAAATCAAGTGAAGGGTCAGATGTAAGTCTGTCATCTAAGCATCTTGATAGCCATATAAATCAGAAAGATACTCAGTCTAAGGAGGTTGTGGAAAATAAATTGGGAGAAAATTTGGTTGCTGATATCCTCAAATCATCTGCAGAAGATAGTATTGGAAAATCTGAAGTAAGTACTTTAGGATTTAATTCCTTAAAGAATAACAGTGTTGGAAAATTTGGTCCTGTACAAAATTGTCCGTCACATATAGCTATTAAACCTTACTATTGGGGCTCACCATTTGAAGCATACCTGCAGAAATATCTTTATTCTAAGTTCCCAAGACTAAAACCATCTGATTTAGATTCAACTACTGATTTATTCCTTGACCCAGAAAAAGGTCAGTGGAAAATGCTAGACCAAGCAGGAACTTTCCATAATAACCTGGGTGAAGGCTTGGAAAACCAAAATATCAGTGGGTACAATGAAAGCCAGCATAACTCAGTAAAACACAGTGATACAGGCAACTCTATTGAGACATCATATGTAATTTTGAATTCAGAATTTCCAGAATTTGAACAACAATTAACTGGAATATGTGATATGAAAGGTGGTTATAATGCAAAGGAAGAGGCGGCATTCTGCTTAGTTAGGGACAGTTTACTTGATGCTCTGAAAGTTGAAGTTGGTCGTAGATTGAGCACTTCTAATTTGAAGGAAATGGAAAGGGTTCTTGTAGATGACATGAAACAAGTTGCTGATGCAATAATCCAAGCAGTTGTTCTGGACAATCATTTAAATTTGAGACTGCTTACAGAGGTTAATCACCTAACATTGGTAAAATTTGGTACAATAGAAGGAGAACGCACAGTCAAAATAATATCTTCTGCAGTTGAGGAAACCAGCCAGTTGAAGAAGATCCTTCCAGTTGGTGTAATTGTTGGTTCACTCTTGGCATCTTTGAGAAAGCACTTCAAAATTGCTGCCTCACGTGATGGTGACCAGATCAAAGATATTGAGCAAGCTGGGAATGTTCAGGAGACACTTTCAGTTAAAGATGTTAACACCAAGAATGAACTTCATGATGACGAGAAAGTTCATGCTCACGATGACTCAGTTAGTGGGAACCAAAATCTTGCCAAAGTTAGTTACAATGATGATGGAGTCATGATTGGAGCTGTTACAGCTGCCTTGGGTGCAACCGCTTTATTAGCACACCATCAGGTGAAATATGAATATTTGGGACCTTCATTTCTCCATTACTGCATTCTGTGGAAGTTCTCTCTTGCTTTCCTGTTTTTTATTAAATTGTCGGCTTACTTCTCCTGAGCAACTTACAGAGTGATCAGACTTACTGTGTCATTTAAACATATTTATTGTTGAAGAAAAAACAGAAATTTACTTCTTCTTAAGAAATCTATGTAATGATCATTTTTGTTGTTCTTGCATCTTTCCTGGGCTATCATTGTTCTCTGTGGTTAAATCTTGTTTTAAAGATACCTTATAACTGTTTTTTTAAATTCTTTACATGGTTTGTCAGGATGATCCACAACGAAAATAAATGGTGAATTTTTTTTGCTTTAGTCAGCTCAATCTTATACTGTTTGTAGGTTGATGAATCTAGGAACACACATTAGTGTCTAGGCTGAAGCTTCATTAATACCATGTTTCCTTTTCCCCCTTGCTACACTTGAACCGTTTGCTTGTTTTAGCAGTCAATATTTTAGTTATACATGCTTCCTTTTTATGTTTGGGATTTTTAGATCTCATTCTTTATTATCCTGGTTAATTCTGGAAAAAACTTCAAATTCAAGCTTGATCTAGTGAGAAACTCCTATAATTGCTTATGTACACTTGTGCTACTAACAGAAGGTCCTTCTTTCCACCTTGTTATAATTTTCCCTTTTGGCCTTTGATGAATGCTTAATTAAATAATTTATAATCCTAAATGTTATGTATATGTTGGTTTATCCAACCGTTCTGCTTTGTATCTCTTGTAACTGTTGTTCTTAAGTAGTGCTTCCAGATCAGCATAGTAGCATATGCTTGTGCTGGATTATTATTTTTGTATCCATTTCTCTGTTCTTCATGGTCTCAAGCCCATCATGGGTAACTTCCCATTAGTAGGATGTTGATTATTACCGTAGAATTTTATTTATTTTTCATCAAAAATTCAGATTAATTTTGCAAGTGAAATTTTGGGTCTGCTTATGGTTTTGGAATATTTCTTTACTACAATTGGCTGACATTTTATATTGTTCTTCTTTTCCTTTTTTGCTCATTGTTTCTCTTCAGATAACCATATACTGGTTGCCATTGTATCATTAACCAGATCCTTTTATCCTCATACATCTTATCATTCTATTCATGTGAGGTAGTTTCTTATTGATGGTTGTTTTTCAAGAAAAGTTTATTAGCCATGACACTGTTCAAAATAGTGTTGTTTTTATTTCATGAGGTTTCTATCATAATTAATTATATCACATCATTGATAATGGTTCTGCTGAATTCTTTATGACTGCTTTCATCTTGGCTTGGTTTATTAGCTTGTGCAAAGAACCAGAAAATGGGAACAAAAGGTGATTGACCATAATGTCTGCACAGACAATCCCAGTATTTATTTGTGCCAGCTTTACTTTGCGAAACCATAACTCTTTTTTTTTATTTCATTGTTCCATTCTTTTCTGTTTCTGCCCATGTTTTTAATAATTAGGTGGTCACCAATTTGGTCTTTTGAGCAGAAGAAAGCTTAGGAAAGAGGTTGTCTTTATCTCGATATTCAGAAAAACTCATTCTTCTTCCCTGATCCACACTTTAGATTATGTCTTTCTAAAATGTCTGTTTAATGAAGCAATGTTCCATCCATTTTACTTCTCATATAAACACTAGCTTGGAGGGTACTTAGGAGTTAGGAATGTGCATTATCATACTTTTTCTTATTTTACTACAAATTTCTTATTTTACTAAAATTTTGCAATTTCTGTTAGATACATGAGGTCTGTGATTTATGCTTTATTCTTTAGTTCTTCTAGAAACTGATTTTTAGTTAGATTCATGAGAAACTTAAATGCTTGCATTTTGAGTTTAGTAGAGACTGTTCTTCGTTAGATCCATGAGATGCTTAACTGCTCATGAATTGAATGGCTTATCTTAAATCTTCAGCAGAGGGACACCTACAGTAATGGTCAAGCAATGGAAGTTCCTTCGAGGGAAACTATCGAGAAGGGCTCTCAAAATGAGGAGCATGATAGGCCTGAGGTGGCAACACATGAGAAGATCCCAACTAATATAATGTGCAACCTAGCCGAGAAGGCAATGTCTATTGCTGGACCTGTAGTACCTATGAAGGATGATGGGGAAGTGGATCAGGAAAGGTGGGTTCGTTTACATTATTCTCATTTTTTTCTCTCTTTTGGATATGTTCTCTCTTGTTGACGTTACCCTGCACTTGTCTTTGTTAAACATGTAAAGGCTGGTCACTGTTCTAGCAGAACTAGGACAAAAGGGTGGACTGTTGAGATTAGTTGGTAAAATTGCTTTGCTGTGGGGTGGTATACGTGGTGCTATGAGCTTGACCGACAGGCTTATCTCATTTTTGCGTATTTCCGAGCGCCCCTTGTTGCAGAGGTTAGTCCTTTTTCTCCCAACCATCTTTATTACTTCCGATGACATACTCAACATGCAAGACTAAACTTATTTAGTCATTACATGGATTTTACATTGCAGTGGAGAAGGTAATGAATACATTTGTTTAGCAGGTTTGTGCCACTGCAGTATGCAATGCAACTTAACTGAGCAAGTTCTCACTTATGGTTTGTCATTTACAGAGTATTGGAATGTACATAAAGATAGGCAAACATTTTGCTGCAATCATGAAAGCTGACTTTTAATATGGTGTTTATCTGCATCATTGGAGAAAACTATCACAAACCAACCAATGGGATAACCTAACCAACTCATTAACCTGATGAGCCCTAGTTACATGGATGGTAGTTGACCCACTTAATTCTATAAATTAACTCAATTCTCCTTCCAGACTACACTAGCGTGTCACAATCCCCCCAGGATCATCCTAGGGCATGTGAGGTATGAGCTCAATGGTTGGTCCAGGTCAAGATATACCTCCAGTCCCATCTACAGGTAGTTCTCTCCTACTTAGGCCTCTCATAGTGTTTAGTATTAAGTCTATTCTAATACCATTTATCATGATTTAGTCTGATAGATGACTGATCTATCAACTTGATGAGCTTGAATCATTAGCCTAAAATGTTGTTGTCTGAGTTAATAATGTTGGACTTGCTTAGCCCTATGTAGGCTCATAAGAATTCTCCTATTTTTGATGTGGAATTAAATTGGAATGTCATAATCTCCCCCATCTAAGGCTTGATGAAGAGAGTTAATTGTAGTAGACTCATCTAGGCCTATGATAATTTTCTTATTTCTAATTTGGGACTAAAATGAGAAATCATAATTTCTTCATTTTTAGCCTTGACATTATCTTTAAAACCTGAACTGACATATAGTTCAGAATCCTCCTAGGACACATGAGGCCCAGATAAACAGTGATGTGCCCAGCTTCACTCATGGGTAGATCTTTCCTATTAGGTCCTTCATCACATCTAGTACCAGGTTCGTTCGGATAATATTTGTTACAACCCGACCCAGTGTGATAATTGATCAATTAACTTGATAAATTTGAACCATGTCATATTCAAGTTCAGGTTAATGGTTGTACTATATTGTCCTCCCACATTCGATGTGGGAACAAACTAGGGGGTTACATCTCCCCAAAATCATCATAGTAGGGCATGTGATGTCGTGGTTGCACTATATTGTACTGTGCATCTCTCTCCATGAGTACTTTCCTACTTAGGTCCCTTATCAAGCTTAGTACTATGTGTACTCTAATACTATTTGTTATGATCTAACCAATGGGATCACTTACCTCCTATCTTGATGAGCTTCAATCATAACCCAAAAAGAATAGACCCAAGCTAATAGTAGTACATATATTTGGCCATATAAACCAACTTAATTCTTAAGATGGGACTAAATTAGGATGTTATAATCTCTTCCATTTAATATTTGATGTCCTTATCAAAGTCCATACCATAGTTCATAATCATCCTTGTAGGGGTTGTGAGCTTTGGTCTACTGGTGGCTACATGCCTTGACGTGCCTCTAGTCCCATTCATGGAAAGTTATTTCCTATTTGGGTCCTTCGCTATGGCTAGTACTGGTTTTGCAATTGATTTGATCCTTTCCACTAGTCATGATTCGGTTTAATAGGATAATTGATTCATTAACTTATTGAAATTGAACCATATGATGCAAGATGTTTAAATCCAGATTAATAGTAATAGACCCATCTAACGTTATTAACCATTCAATTCTCTTCCCAAATCCAATGTTCCTCCAACACCTGATGTGAGATAAACCTGGGTGTGACAAAATGCCTATATCTTCATATATTCAGTAATTTTAGTTTCAAAATTATGGGTAGAAAACAATGCATTTGGTGGGAAGCTTGAAAGATACAACTATTCAGCAGAGTGTGAGACATTTTCTTCTATTGTAAATTGTAATGACCTAAGCAGGAAATCATTGTAATGGTCAGATGTTTATTTTCTACTGATGGTCAGATGTTTATTTTCTACTCAAACTGTTGCTTCTCTTTTGAGGAACAACTTACCTCTTTTTTTTGTTTTGTTGTAAAGAATTGTTATAATAGATTGTTTGATGCTTTCTTGAGGTTTATCTCAGAAAATTTTGCTTTTGCTTCACAAAAGATTTGAACAAAGAAATATCAGGGTTAGTTTCTCATGATGTCTTCTCTTTAAAGTTGAATGATTATGTTTGTTATCACATGTTACTTGACATCTCGTTGCTCCAATTTGTCCTGATTGCTATGAAAATGTTTTCAGACTATAATATTGGTCACGCTTTTTCTGTAGGGTTATCTGGTTTGGCTGCATGACTCTTGTATTATGGTCTCCAGTGGTGGTCCCCCTGCTTCCGATGCTTGTGCAGAGTTGGACAACGAGGACATCAAATAAATTTGCTGAATATGCTTGTGTTTTAGGTCTCTATGCTTCTAGTATGATCCTTGTTGTACTTTGGGGTAAAAGAATACGAGGATATGACAATCCCCTTGAACAATATGGACTGGATTTCACAGCACCCAGGGTACAAGCTCTATAATCCTTTCAAATTATAGCTTACAACAGAATTATGTAATTATATATTTCTGCCATTTCTTATAATTCTGGTAAAATCATGATTTTCTCAGGATAATATTACTTTGTTCCTTCCCATCCCACTTTATGGGCCCTGTATTTTCATATTGGCATGCCAGTTCATTATTTGTCCTTAATTGGCCATGCAAGTAGAAATGGGATGGTTGAAAGGTGGTTAATAGTTCATGCTTTTTTTTTTACTCCTTCCCATTGTGGTTGCTGGTAGGTGCAATGTATTACAGTTACCATCATGATTAGTCAATGCTCATTCTCTTCTTCTTTTTGTATTTAAATAAATTGGTTTTAGGGCAATCTCACTTCAGCTATGAAGATCTCAGTAGTTACTAAATTAGCTGCTTTTCTGCAGGCCCTTGGTTTTATGAAAGGTTTGGTTGGAGGAATGGCAATTGTGATGTCTGTACATTCCATAAATGGGTTACTTGGATATGCAAGCCTCGCTTGCCCTTCATTTTCCCCTTTGTTTCGGGCTGATCCTGTATTGTTGCTGAAATCATTTGTCAACATGCTACTTAAAGGTGTTCGAGGGATTATAACAGCAGCTGGTATTGCTCTTGCTGAGGAATTGTTATTTAGGTCATGGCTTCTGGAAGAAGTCGCTGTTGATCTTGGGTACTACCGTGCTATTGTGATATCAGGCATTGCTTTTTCTCTAATTCATGGGTATGCTCTGATTGTCTGTATTCAGTGACCTCTTTTGCTTATTGCAATTTCTGAATTTCTAATCTTGTTTTTTCCCTTGACTCATCATTTATCTCACAAAAGAGCAATTAATTTGTCACAGTGCTACTCTAACCGTAACATATTATGCAAGAAACAAAAAAATGGAGAGTTTCTCATCTTGCCAGATTGGATTATATTATTAATTAAAACTAGAACTTCATGGAATAAATATGATGCACTCCTGGTATATCCAGAAGTGAGGATGCATAGCTTTTCTTCCACCTTAATCTTACAACAAACTCATGGTCAAGCAAATAATCTATGAACTCCCTATAATTTTTTGCTACTAAATTCAACATCTCTTTGCAGTATTGAAAGATTCCTGCCGTCCTTATTAGGGATACTTTTTTAAGTTCTTTTTGGTGTTTCTTATAATGTGATGCCTAACTGTTAGGATATATTAATTTTTCATTTTTCAAATTACAGGTCCCTCCCTTCAGTACCAGGTTTCTTGCTATTATCTTTGGCACTTTTTGGAATTAAGCAAAGATCTCAGGATAAAATCTATGTCCCAATTGGAATACGCTCTGGGATAATGTTTACCAATTTTACTTTGCAAACTGGTGGCTTAATCAGATACAAACTTGGAACTCCTCCTTGGTTAATTAGTACTCATCCTCTGCATCCATTTGATGGTGTTGTTGGCCTTGGTGTATGTGTTCTCTTGACTATTCTCTTCTTTCCAAAGCAACCTCAGCAAAAGATATGTTCAAAGGATAATCAACAACAGAATGGATGAACATGGTAACCATATTAAGGGGATTTGTTGGCTACTAATTGCATAAATAGAAAAGCTTGGAAGAGTAACCTGTGCATAAACACCTTGTTACTTTGTAGAAATGGAACAAAGGTTGGTGGAAATGCTGAAATCTTCTCTGAAGTTGTCACGGCAACAAAAGAAGTCTTATGGTGTGTGGGCTGCTTGTGTATTCACTGGAAATGGGGCATCAAAGTGATTGATATTCTTGCTTTTGTTCTTGACAAATAAGGCTCCCATGTGATATGTTTATGCCAGCATAATCAGCAGTCAAATTTTGTGGGAAGCAGTTTCGAAAGACGAGTTACAGATTGTAGATGTCAATTATAACATAAATATATGAGAAGGTAGTGTAGATTGCGGCACTGCCTCAATTGCATTTACGTTGTTACTCTCAGTATCTAATAACTGCCTGATTGCACAGTTCTCTTTTGAACAGTGTCTCTGATAGAGAAGGATACAAGTGTTTGGTTCTACTTTAGCCTCAAATTAGTTGTACTTGTAAGGTTGTGAAGTGCATGTTCAAAGTGTGAATCTAAAGATGGACAAAGCTATTCTAGTATTAGCATCCAAAATTGTTTTTGTTGGTTGCTAAGATACAGGGACATGTATTTGACTGAAGTGTAGAAAGTCATTGTATTGGCCATGTGGATAGGGTTCAGCAACAGTTGTCTAATGAGCATAGAATTGTTTACAATTATCTCATGGATGTTGTGGTGCTCATTGCATTCATAGTGGTAGGCTGAAGTTACAGAGCATGCAGAGATTTTATGAGGGACGGAAGGTAGCAGTTTTGCTATATGATTGAGGCTTCTGCTTTGGCTATTGGTATACTGTGAGAGTTGATAAGATGTTCTTTGAGGTTGATGTAGTCGTGACTCGTCAATCTAGGGTACAACTGGTAGGTTCTCAAAGACTAGATGGCAATGAAGGGGTACCTTAATGAATTTTCTCATTGTTTTTCACCTAGTGAGGATACAAGTAATCATCAAGTAATCTAATCTAAAGTTCTAAACATGCATTTTCAGACATCTAGTTAGCTTCTCTACTAACAGCTAGCAAAAACTCAGACAGATCAATTTATATGTTATTACAACCAAGTGAGTGTGCCGTTAAGCCACAGTTATTACAGACTGAAGAATGAGAATAAAGCAGCCATGACAAAGTCAATGATCACTTTGTGGAAGCACATGCTGTCCTCCATTAATCTCACGAAGTGTGGGCTTCTAATGCTGTTCAAGTCAGGTAAATTTTACCGAAGTTGTTCTTAATACATTAAAGCTTTAAAAGTTATGGCTGTAACGATGTTTACCGATCCATAATGTAGTTTGTTGCAAAGATCTTTTCTAAAGAATGGTCACATTGCCATATCCTTGATGGACTACTTCCAAGTATATGCATGCATGAAAAATAATAGACTGTAGCCTAGTTCAACTTGTGATCGGAGATGTTGCTGCATCACAGAAAGTGGATATGGCAACTTCTCCAATGTTTGTCCATTAGATGTGGAACAGTTGGTGAGACGCCAAGTCAAAGAATTTTATGTTTTAGCTGCTGGATTGATCCCTTCGGTATCCTGTGAATTAATCCAATAGGATCTACATTTGGTCTAGTGAAAACAACATATCATGTTGAACTTGGAAGCAGGATTATAATTTCTGTGGATTGTTGGCGGGCAAAGCGAGGGTTCCACATGGCTTGTCAGAAAGGAGAGATTGTTTTTGTATTTTGAGTCATGATCACATAGGATATGCTATGCTGCCTGTTGGTGCAAAGGATCTCTGCCACAAAGCAGTGGAAGTGGTGGCTTTCTTTGAGCAATAACCTAGACTGCACCTGAGGACGAGTCTCAGAATCCTGGAAATTTTATCTGTGGTTTCTTGGTCTCAGTTCAAGATCAGTTTGCAAATGGTGAACCTGACTCTCCTATTAGACTTCTCATACTATAGGCTAGATCGAAGTCTGAAGATTAGGAGGTTACTGGGGTTCATGCTCTCTAGAGTTTTCTCATAATTCGTTCTCATGGCTTGATGATATTGGCACTTTTTATCATAATATTTATGGACACTTTATGCTACATTCATTATGTCTTGTTATTGCTTTACCTTTTGCCTAATCTGAAGATTTTAAGGAATCATGCCCATTCTACTCTTCAATTTGTTGATCTAGTCATGATATAATAGTTAATGGAGCACATGAAGTATTTAACCTGAACTAAACAGTTATATTTATTTCATATTATGATGAGAAACAACCATCAACATTTGAGACTATGAATATATGGATATCAATGTCATGCATATTTATTTAAAGCACTGACTAGATTATTTGTTTAAAAAACACTGAACAATACACTTCCATCACAATTTTGATATGATGAGATCTCGTTCATGTACACTAACATTCCATTGTTTTCTCTTACATTCCATAATATTAAATGCACACATAGATAATCTTGTATAGGTTAATTTTTCGGAATAAAGTAAAGAAACTTTTTAATTTCCATGCACACCCCCATCTCTTTCACAAGTCTTTCTTGCTTCTCTATAGGAGCAATATAAATATAACTATAGACATACTATTTATACTTATCGAAGTGCTAGCTTATTCCCTATGGTTTGTTTGTAACTTTGTAAAAATAGAGAACCTTGTTTATCATGCAATATTGAAGATAGAATTAAAGGCTTGGTCAAGGTTTCACCTGCCTTCCTCCAACTTCTCACCATTTTCTCTTTGAGTTGTCCAACTAATTTGTGTTGCAGCTGCAGTGAAAAATGAGTCGATGCCTTTTACAATGAAATAGATTGGTCAGACCAGGTGAAAAATAAGCCCAAAGCTTCTGTTAGAGAATCCCTCACTATGTTTATGAAATCATGCAGTGTGCTTTAATCTCTCTCTGTCTCTCCATGTGTTGGGTAGAATCACCTGATGGTGAAGCATGAAGAACCTTGAGCAAGCCTAAGTGTATGACAAAGAGGTGGCATTCCTTGAGCCGGATCACGGGCGCCACCCACTCAACAGGTGGCAGCAAGTCTCAAGGAGCTATCAGGATGAGCATGCTTGGCGATCGGCGTCATCCCATAGGGACAGACCCAACTGGGTTCCATCCCGGATGGCTCATGAGCCCCAAGCACACTGAGCATCTGCAGTTTTGCATTCTCGTCAAGAAGTCTAGTGGGCACAGAGGGAGCCATCGCCGGCACATTGGATTCGGAGATGGCGCTCTTCGAGCACCTTCTGTGGATGCTGGAGTATGCCAATTCTCGGTTCATTGGACAAGTTGGGTTGAGTCCATCTTTTAGTGCTGACACATGAGGAGGATCAATGTGGAACTATCAGACATAAATGCAACATAGCCATGTTATCCTTCTTAACGTGGTCCAAAAATCAATACAACGTGATGATTAACCTGTTCTAATTATCTTGAAGAGCGTGGTTGTGTGTGCCCATGTTTAATAATGTTGTATTACAATTCTGTATACTTTTACAATTCTGTATACAATTCTCGTACCTTTTACTGTGACATGGGAATGACATGCATGCAGAAATTTAGTATCATCCAGGATTATGTTTGTAATCTGCAAACCCCCAACCAGTGCATTGCAAACCATAAACACTGCATGGGACTACATGCAAGATTTCACAGATGATGCTGTCTGATACTAATGCCAATTCTCGTCTATTTCCACAGGTCAATTCACGGATGTGTCATGTTGACATCAGATTTGTGCACGAATGTCAAACTGAATTAGATTTCTAGTTTGTTTTCTTGAGTACATGCAACTTAGAGCTCCATTGTAGCTGCTCGATTACATTTAAGAAAGCCCCCAAATCTTTTATCTTGCTATTTAGTTTTACAGGTCCTAAAAAAGGTTCTTATTCCTTGAGATGAATTAACTAATAGGCATCCATAGAACAAATGGGTGTTGGAACTATGAGAAAAGTGGGTGTTAATCCATAGAAATTTGTGGAATCTTGTGATCAAGTAGGCCATAGAAGTTCTTTGAAGTACACCGAGATGGGGCTGCTGAACCTCGCACCTACCAAAAGAAATCGAAAGCTATGACATTTCAACCTCCTCATGTGGAGCTTTCCTTATTTTCTCTTTGGAAGCATCGAACGGCAACTCGGGCGGTAGTTCATCACGAAGACGAAAGACGAACAGACCCGCAAGGTGCCATTATGAAGGCCTTACAGGAAAGGGACTCCACTACGCACCAGTCAATGGAGCATTGCGACGGGCAGTCATTGATTTATAGACGGGACCTTTGTGTTGGTCCCCGTCGCTATAATCTAAGCAGAAGCGGTGGAGTTCTGTCTCACGGTTCGTACGATCTCCATCGATTTATTTATGTGGGTACATATATACATTAAATTATACAAATGAACCTCAAACCTGATAGTTTCGGACTCCATCTTTTGCAATCTTAAATTTTATTATATATATATATGTATCACTATAAAAATAAAAATATTAAATTTCTTATTAAAGCCCCGAGTTTTTTTTATTCTTTCTAGACCATATCATTTTCTAAAAGATGATATTATCTCAGTTTCCATCTGATCGATCACTTAGTCAGTTTTGTCTAAATCGTGTGATATCCTTACGTATCCATCCGCAAAATGATCAACCTCTCCGAATCCTTTTACGGTCCCAAAGGATCTACAAAAGAAAAGACGGATTAAAGAAATCATTTAACTCAAGATCTAATAAACATCTATTTTAGTAAACGCTTGATAGACAATGCAAATTAGACTTCGTAAGCTTTGAACGTTCATGTGACAAATAGTCCAAGGTGATCCGCCGTGATCAAAAGTCTCCATAAGTGCCCACATGATGCTACTACGAAACAAGACAATGAACTAACCCTAAACATTACTCTAAATGTCCCTCCAATCATGTGCCACTCAGGTAGCTCCTATGTGTTATGTTGATTGACACTCCACACTACTTTATGGAGCTTGAAAACTCCTAAATGGTTGTCTGATGGTTTATTTTTGGACAGTTTTGCCTCTATGTGATGAGTGCATATAACTTGCATTTACAAGTCTAAAACAACCACAAAAGCTAATCAAAATAGGTTATCAAGCTTATTGCAAGCTCTCTATATATTGTACAAATCATGAATAAAATCAAAGGATGCATATATATAAAAGTATTACATAGAACACCTTATTTATAATTTTGTCCGTGATATTTTTCCCCACTTATTCCTTCAACGTCCTCGTCATCTTTACAAACATTACATCTGCTCATCTTTGTTGAATCTTCAATCTTCTACTTTAGTTGCAATGTGTCTCTTGGTTCCCAATTGCTCTTCATTGCTGTTATTGATTAGTCGACTTTTGATCCGCCACTCTAATTCAACTCGTTAATGACTCTAACTTTAGTGTGGGGTCGATCAAGTTGTATTGATCTTTGTTGGTTCATATAGATCGTTCAAATAAAGGAAAAGATATTTTTTATTGTGTATCAGTCTCTTAAATATCTTACACCGCTTGAATTGAGTGGATGTCTATTGGAGCTTTAACGAGTATCATCTTATAGACTTTGAAGTTTTTGGGGTCTTTCCTCGATAAAATTTGTCTATCGATTCCTCTTCTATTTAGTTGTCACCTCTAAGTAGATTCATATCACTTCTACTTTTGTTTGATATTTTGTTAGGAATTAAAGAGAATAATCTACTCTCGGTGGAATCAATAATCATTGGTGAATAGTTGATAACTGTTACCTTTCACTTTCTTCAAAGGGTCTTTAAACATGCATAGAGCTTCTCTACTAGATAAATAAGATAACTAGGATACTCTCATTCACTTAATAGTTGAGAAGGAAAATATTATTCAACTTCGCCTGCCTCCTTGAGAGTTATACTTAACGCATTGAGCTAGTTACTAGCATTTGTTTGCTCTTTGCTCATACTTCTAAAGCACCCAAAGTGTTTGCACTTCTTACGTTGAGTTAGCTACTATGATTTGCCTTCTCATTGCTATTTTGAAATGTAAGAAGTTTTGCTCAAAAAGAGCAAACTTTTATCCAGACTTGGAGCAAGTCTCCAATAATTTTGGTTGCATATGAGATTATACTATCTTCTCCATCATTTATATTGCATACTCCTCTGAGTATAAAAGGTCTAACACCATATACTGTCTACTTTGTTCCTTGGTCGAGCACTCCTACATCAATCTGAAGTCCCCTACTTTTGATTATTTTGATGAGAAGCCTACTGAAACCGATCTTACAAAGTTCTTTGATCTTTATCCTTTAGTCTTGTCTCGATACTTGGTGTTTGCCTTTGCATTCTCCACATTCTTGATTGCTTGTATGACCAAGCACTCTCCTTCCATAAGAGCAAGGGATTAATGATTTCGTAGAAGTCTTGCCTCTATGGTATTATAGCACTATCATGCCCATGGCCCTATTATTTGTTGCTTTACATTTGTGTCCCTTTATTTATGATCGATAGGTTCATCTCTATGGTACTATGACATTCCTCCGAGTCTACCTCTATTCTGATCGATGCTTGGTTTTGGGCAACTAAGACACTTTGGACATGCCGTCACTTTCTCACCCCTTTTGACCACCTATTTCAACATGTCCGTGTTATCTAAGTAGTTCCCCTTGGTCAATGAAAAAATAAATTATAACTCCCATGCATGGCCTCCACCATTATGTTGTAGGGCTCAAACTGATTCTATTTTCCTTTGCATCCTTAGTAGCAATGTTCGCTTACTCGACCTTGTTCTTTGATTTATCGAACTCCCTTAAGTGAATATAAGCTATAAAGAAGTCCAACTCTTCAGTCGTTCTGATTATACCTCTATATGATCAAGTTCCCTCTATGGGACTCATTGGTACTTACATTCATAATTCTCCTTTGGTAGTACATAACCCTTATATGCTAATGATTAAAGCTTTTATCTATTGTAAAATTTGATACATGCATGAAAGTCTTGCCTTTGTGGCACAATGACATTCACTTATTGAATTTATAGCCCTTCTTGCTATCGTATTATTCATTGAAATAGAGCTCTCATTAGCTCTCGATCATACCTTTGTATGATCAAGTCCCTCGTAGAACTTCTCCCGTGTGTGTCGTATTATCTCAAATTGTTTCACCCTAATTCGCTGCATTATATCGTCTCCTAATGATATCTTCGTTACTTTCTAATCTTTTTATAGGATGAACATAGACTATAATCTCTCCATGTATAGTCTTTGCTAATGCATCGCAAAGCCTCCGCAATCTCTGATTGTGTTCCCCCCTTTAGTAATTGGCTTTCATCCATCTACTCTCAAGTCACACCCAAACAAAGTGCAACTCTAAGATAGTCTATCGTATAGCAGTTTCTGAAGTCCATCGACTTTGCTAAAGTTGGTATGTTATTGTCTAGATCCTAGGCCCTTGCCACAAGCATAATCTTCGCTATGCATCGCACTTCCTTCAGAGTAACTCGAACAACAGCATAGTGGCATATTCTTCAAGTGTATCCATCTCTACATCCTCTTTGTCTGTTCCAAGGCCTTCTGATCCTAACTTCACATCTGCAAGTTGAGTCGTCTTAGTTTCTTCATCAAATGCTTTGTCAAGATAAGGTGCATGTGCCTTGAAACCCTCGATGACTTTGGCACCATGCAAAATGAGTCTACTCCATCAGAAGAGGGACCCATGGAATGACATAATCTTACCTTTGCTTTTGTAAGAGGTTATGTCCTTGACCTTTATTTAAGGAAAGCTTCATACCTTTGCTCTATATTTCATCTTCTATGTTGGCTCTCTTTATATGGCTTGGGTACTTCACTAAGTTTCATCAAAGTTGCTCTGTTCCCTGGTTTGCATTGAGTTGATGGTAGCCCTCACCTGCACCATTCCATGAGTCAATCATCTATTAAGTCCAATCTTCACATTGACTCTAAGTTTACCTTCGTTTGGTGTTGCCTTAGGTCACTCATTCACTTGATCTTGCAATATATGTATCAACGCATTATCTCATGCAAATTTTTACAATAACTCCCCATAGCTCGCTGGATCCGTTGAGCTTTATATAGTTATTATCTTGAGGTATCCCTCTTCGTATGATCTGTTGCATATGATTCTCCCTCTAGAGAGCTGAGGCTTATCCCTCTTGGATATCTATTCTATTGGAGTAACTTTTCTCTTCATATCATTCTCTCTGAAAGTTTTGAAGACCACAATCCCTTTGAACTACTTTGCCTTGCTAAACAAACTGTGTATTATTCTACCCTCGCAAATGCACTTACTAGATTATGACTATTCACTAATATACCCCCGGTGCACCCCTTAAGGCCTAGTAATATACGAAACTTGTTACATACTCCAACCTCCTATTGATATATCCTTCTTATGTTGAAGAGAAAGTTTCAATACTCTATCACGTTGAGTTTTGATCATCTTGGGATGGCTACAAATAATCCATCATCTATATATAAGCTTTTACTTGAGTATCGAATTCTTTAAGTTAATAATTCTCCTAACCTCTATATGATTTATAGAACTCTTTTGGTCGCCAAGTAACTCATCCCCCATTGTACGGTCTCATCTTTATTAAGCACCCTACTTGTCTTTAGTACCATCAAGTTTGGTTGTCAATATCGAGTTGTAGTTCAAACTCAATCATCCTAACCTTTGTGCACTACATGTTCTTTCTGGCTTGCTTGTTCTCATAACGCCTTTCACACGAAGGGTTAGTTATTTCTCTGAGTATCAATCTTGGATGTCCACTTCTCCGAGCAACTTATTTCCCTATGTCTCAATAGTTGTTTTCCTCAAATAGTCACGCATGCTAGCTGCCCTCAACATAGCCCCGATAGATCTCTTATGTTTGTATGTCAAGTATTTCTAAGTGTGCTTATCTTGCTTTAATATCATCTATCATGGACTTAGCTGGTTTTGCATAAGTTGTGTGGCACCCTTGCATGTCCATCCGCAAAAGGGTCAATCTCCTTGAAATCTTTTATGGTCATTTAATGACCTACAAAAAAGAAGATGAAGCATTTAACTCGAGATCCAATAAGTAGCTATTTCAGCAAACACTTGATAGACAATGCAAATTACAAACATAAATTTGATAAGTTCTAAATTATCACATGATAAATAGTCCAAGGTGGTTCGATATGGTCAAAAATCTCTACAAGTATTCACATGACATTCATTTGGAACAAAACAACAAACTAGCCCTAGACACTGCCTTAAAGGCCCATCCGACCACATACCATCTAGTTAGCTCCTGGGTGTTATGCTGACTGACACTCCACACCACTATTCAGAGCTTGAAAACCCCCCAAGATGGCTTCCCGGATAGATTGTTTCTAGGCAGTTTTGCCTCTACATAATGATTGCACATAACTTGTATTTACAAGCTTGAAACAACTACAAAAGTCAATCAAAATGGGACTGTCAAACTTACTGCAACCCCTTTATATACTGTGCAAAGCATGAATAAAATCAAAAAATACAAACATATACAATCATTACATCGAATACCCTATTTATAATTTTATCGGTGATAGATCATCGTCGCCTCATCAATTGTTGCCTTTGCCCCTCATCTGTTATACACTTACCCCATCGCGTCTGCTCCTCGTCCGTTATTATCGTTTCACCCACGTTCATCGTTATCATCGCACTCTCGTTTGCGTTTGAGACCAAACCCCAACACCTTGCCTTCCTCTGTTGATGGTTCACACAAGCCCAGGCCACTATCGATCATCCTTTTGAGAACCCGCTTGTCTTGGTCATCGTGGTAGACAAGGATGAAGGTGGATAGATAAAATCGCATGGTCGAGGGTGAGGGTAAAGATAAACGAGGGCGATGGATAAAAGATAGAGGCTATAAGCTTGCAAGGCAGAAATGACGATTGGAGGCACTAAGACTCTAATGGAAAGAGTGAAAACTTAAAAATATTTTTTTATAAAAAATTTGGCCACTAAATTCGTCATTTTTATTCTTTATATAACGCTCGAGTTCTATAACGGTGAAGATGCGAATCCAGGAAATCGAGCTCAACATACGTCACCTTCGAAAGTGAAGGCCACCATCGCGGGTCCCACCACCGTCGGGTTGACCTTATCCATTTGGCCTGTCGGCAATGTGGTGCAGCACGTGGGCCCGGTTCGGTCCTCCCGCCACGTCCGATGTGGCAGGCCCGCACAAGACGCCCTCTTCTCCATTACAGGCCACTTGATCCCCTCAACCTCCGCTTCCCACCCCCCACCCCCTCTTTCTCTCTCCTCAACCTCCTCCTCCTCCTCTCTCTCTCTCTCTCCCCCCTCAACCTCCCCCTGTTGACTTCCAACAAATCGAAAAACAGTCGTCCGTCTCGATCCTTCTCCATATCGTTTGGCATTGTGGAGAATCCAACGAGTACGATCATGGAAGGCAGCGCCCTGGATGATCTGATCGAGAGGCTGCTGGAAGGCAAGAAGCACAAGGCCGGCGGCAAGAAGATTCAGCTCAGTGAGCTGGAGATCCGCAACCTCTGCGTCGCCGCGAAGGAGATCTTCCTCCGCCAGCCCGTCCTTCTCGAACTGGAGGCGCCGATCAACATCTGCGGTGAGAGACATGCTCATGTCTTTCCGTCCGCCCTATGATTCCATGCCGATAGATGAGACATGATATGATCGTTTACAGGCTCAATACATTCGTTGTTCCTTTAATGTCTCCCGATCAATATAGAAATATCTGCAAAATTTGTCTTCCTAGGGAACAGATTGCAGGAAAAAGGAGAGTTTTGGGATAGATATGGGTACTGAATTAGGATCGATTGATTGATCTTTCAGATCATACCGCCAAATTCTGGCACAATGGGTTCAATTGGGTTCGGATAGCAAGAATTTTCTCTCTTGTTGTATATAGATTCACGTAGAACAATCTCTGCAATCTTATGGCTTTAAAAGATGATTTCTTTTCTCCGTGTTATCATGTCGATCAGGTGACGTGCATGGCCAGTTCTCTGACCTCCTCCGGTTATTCGAGTATGGCGGCTTCCCGCCGAGCTCCAACTACCTCTTCCTCGGCGACTACGTCGACCGAGGGAAGCAGAGCATCGAGACCATCTGCCTCTTGCTGGCATACAAGATCAAGTACGCCGACAACTTCTTCCTCCTCCGAGGCAATCACGAATGTGCCTCCATCAACCGCATCTACGGCTTCTACGACGAGTGCAAGCGCCGGTTCAGCGTCCGGCTGTGGAAGCTCTTCACCGACTGCTTCAACTGCCTGCCGGTGGCCGCCATCATCGACGACAAGATCTTCTGCATGCACGGCGGCCTCTCGCCCGAGCTGCAGAGCATGGATCAGATAAGGGAGATCGAGCGGCCGGTCGACGTGCCGGATCAGGGACTGTTGTGCGACCTCCTGTGGTCTGATCCCGACCGGGAGATCAGGGGATGGGGGGAGAACGACCGAGGCGTTTCCTATACTTTCGGTGCGGATAGGGTGGCAGAGTTCTTGAGGAAGCATGACCTCGATCTCATCTGCCGAGCTCATCAAGTAAGTGCCTGTTACTCTTAGTACTATTATCCCATGTAAAGAACTTGCCACAATTGAGGTAAAAGACATAGATCAAGAATGAAGAAGACCAAATCTGAGATCCAGATCTATACCGGTATTGATAGTCAGGTTTATACCATCTCGTAGGTATACAGTACATTTGTATGTATCATAGTACCGAAAAAGTAGAGGTGGAGGAGGAGTCAGAGGATTGGGTAAGTGGATGGCACGACAATTAGGCCGACAGGGTTTAACCCTAGAAAATTGCCTGAATCTCGGATCAGAGCATTTGAAATGAACTGGTCCGATTGTTGGTTCATAATCAGATCAATAAATATCATTCGGTATATAGATCGATTCTCGGATCAAACCATTTGAAATGAACTGATCCGATTGTCGGTTCATAATCAGACCAATAAATATCATTTGGTATATAGATCGATTCGGATAGTGTTTAGAACCCTAATGATGACTAGTTTACTGGACTTCCAGTAAGAATCATGGCATAAAACATGGACTGATGGTGCAGGTTGTGGAGGATGGCTATGAATTCTTTGCAGACAGGCAGCTGGTGACCATCTTCTCAGCTCCAAACTACTGTGGGGAGTTCAACAACGCTGGTGCACTGATGAATGTGGATGCAAGCTTGCTCTGCTCATTCCAAATCCTCAAGCCTTACAGAGGAAAGGTAGGGGGAGAGTGAAGGGCTGCCCAACAAAGAGCTTGAGTTTTGTGCAAGAGAAACAACAATGCGTTTCCTTACAGTTTGTATCTGAAAAGATTATTTTGCCTTCCCTTGTAGCAAATTATTGATGAGTTCAAATATATACTCAGTCTGTGTACATAAAAATGCCAAAGTAGATTCAATTTTTCTGTCATCTTCCCTGGCAACATCTTTTACATGTAATTCCAGTATCCATCTGGCTTTGTTAGATGTCACAGCTTATATAAACAGTTGATGCAAGCATCAAGATTGTTGGCACAGAAATTATACTTGAGATCAAGCAGGACTTGGATATTTGATCTTTATGATACTTCTTTCATCTCCAACACAAACCATGGGCTATAAATGAAAGATAATGGCCAAAATTATGCACTTCAGGTATGCCTACACTTTTTTTTTAGGATGTATGCTTACACATATACTTGAAGGTGTCTTACTTTTTATTGAAGTGAAAATGTATGTAGTCCCATAAATTTATAAGTCATTCTGCTGATTAATTCACAGCTTATAGAATATCCTGAGGTAAAAAAGAATAAATAAAAATATAGCAGCTTGGTAATGTAACATTCATTATAATTCATTAGATGCTTCTTTTTTTCACATTTTAGATACTTCCAACTCTGCTATGGCATCAACAGCCAAAATAAAAAAGTGGTATATATACCTGTTGATCGTGGGTCGACCTAGTTCAGAAGTCACAAGGGCATTCGAAAAACCTGTATGGTAGTTCTACGAGGCGATTGATCGAGCCCTGAGACATGTGAGGTGGCACTGAGGTGGTCTGTTGGATAGAGCCCAAGCGTCCGAGGTGGGCGCGAAACTAGGTCGAGGTGGATCCTAGCTCGTCGATGAGTCCCTGCACAAAGGTCAATGTCGGGAGTTGTTTCTCGACCCAACCCTTTTGATGCTCAAGTTAGCTTTAAACGATTTACGGTGTAAAAGGATTAGTTTTCGAGACATCCTCCCATGAACTAGTACTAGGGGTCAGATTTTTTACTTGTCTGGTCGAGGGAATCACTTATAACGACCATAAGGCCTTCCCTCTGGCATTCCATTTATGGGGGCGATAGACTTATAATGGTTGTAACGCCTCTCTTCTAACGTTTCATCCACGAGGACGATAGGCTTGTAGTGATCGTAACGTGTTCCCCCTGATGTTTTATCTACTCAGGCCGATTGAGGGGATTGACTCGAGCGATCGCCCATAGACTGTTGTTCGCAAAGGTCGATCGGGCTAGCCCAAATGGTCTATAATGGATTGTCATCCATGGGTCGACAAGTCGTAATTGCCTCCATATCACTGTCCTATGAGAGGTGACTAAGCCTTCATTTTATATGTTAGCGCTCCTGTGACGATCAACTGATGAGATGAGATTGGTTACCAGAATATTCTCTATCAACACTCATCTATTTTTATAATTTTATTATGGTAAGTATATCAAAATCCAACCTGTTCAAAATAAAAAATTAAGAATTGAACACTTTACCGGTTGCGGAAAGAATCATATCAAATCAAACCGACCTATTAGTAGCAAACTAAAAGAATAATATGATCCAAAAGCCACTTTTTGTTTTCTTTTCATTCTAAATCGACAATTCTTGGTGAAGGTATTGTTATTTTAGAATGTTGACACAAAAGAAAGGCCTCAATGTCTTTTTCTCTTAAAATCATAGTTTCTATGGAATTTATTTTTTTTATATTTGATATTTTCTATATTTTTATATAATGTTTAGAAAATAATCGATCCATTGGTAATCCGAGACTTTTTTAACTTATATTGAAATGATTCAATCGATTACTCATATTTTTTTCCTGCATATTTGTTGCTTTGTGAACTTTTTGGAAGTTCATATAGCATGGCATTTTGTTCATGAGCTTTGTCAAATCTGAACTGCTTGGTGCCAAACAGGCTCTTAACAGTGTGCTAACTCAGGCATTACCATCACTTGGAATGCATTAGACTTCTTTCAAACTCTTTCAAAGATGTTTCTAATTGATGTGCAATCCAAAGATTTATGTTCAAAACATGAATTAGACCACCCTTTTGTCTCTACACCATTTATCTATCTACATGCATTTGCAAATGCAGGGAAGAAAATTACCTAATGCAAAGCTGCAGTGCTCACATGAACATTCATGAATCTAAATGAATACATCATGGCACCTTGTATGCAAGAGTGAACAAGAAAACCATTATTACAATGACAAACTTAAAGATCACCATAACCATATAACACCATCTGCTTCAATAAAGTTCTTGTATTTAATGATACATACCACTAGAGAGAGAAATGGAACAAAATTGCAGAATATTCTGAACCTAGATAGATGACCATTTTTATCTATTCTCTCTCTCTCTCCTGTGCTGTCCATGCAGCTGAAAATTACTAGGAAACATGTTCTTGTCCTTCCCTCTCCCAACTCATCTTTCTGTACAAGAATCAGTATTATTTTGAAGAATTGAAGATATCTTATGTATGTTGACCAGCTGCATGTATAAACTCCAGCGTGCTATCTTTGTAATGCACCAAAACTTTTTTGAAGCAAAACCTTCATCTTTCTAATTGTGGTCCAACAAGGACCACCTTGATGAAAGACAAGAGTAGTGGCGTTTCCCAAATAATGGCGACGAAGAGAGATTCGTACAATGATAACAAACTCACAAAGCCCATGGCTCATCAGGCTGTTGGAGGCACTCTTGGGGATTGGTGTAGAAATAATCCTCTTCTTTTGGTCTGTCGGGTATGACCAGTCTCCTGGTGGGCCTTCCCATATGATCAGCATGAGCTGCCTTAACCAAGGAAGAGAAGTCATCCCATCCTAATGTTCCATTACTATACTGATCAATCAGATCAACCAGGAGCTTTCGATCTAATGTGATGGTCTTCTTGAAACCCATGTATCTGCAAGTTATACAGGGAACAGATGTATCCTCTGAGTCAAAGCTTCAGTTTAACCAAGAGAGAACAATAGCAAAAGGAGAAAGAAAGGGAAAGAACTTTCTCTAGCCTTGTGCTAAGACCTTTCGTAAATGGCAAAGGTTGGATCGAATCCACTATTTCACTGTTTTGAAGAAAGAAAAGCAAAACAACATGCTTTGGATCTCAGCACATCCAACTAGTTGAGATCAGCTATACAAGATCTTTACCACAACATTCTCCACAAAGAATCAAATCATATGGTAACAATTAATGGTAGCACTGATTTTTATTTCTTCTGATCTAGCTTTTCATTTTTGACGTTAACTTCCATAAAACCCAGCATAATAATCTCAATTATTTTCCTTTTTTTGGCAACAAGTGCCTTAGCATGTTGACATTTGCAAATGACTTTTGTTGCCAGCATGATGAGGAATTTGTGGTGCATCAATACAATAGAAGTTCCATGGTCCTAAGAAAACGGTTTATCATGTGCATATCAACTAAATAAACTGGAAGAATTAAATTTGGTCAACTAATTAGTCAACCTAAAAGTGAAACAGCAACATAAAAATCATGATTGACTAATTGATGTCAGTGAAGAGATGCAAAGAGTGGTACCTGCGATGGCCCTCAACAACCCTAGCCATGTTACCATCATATGTAGGCACAAAGATATCACTCTCCAGAGAAACAATGTAATCTAGTGCTGCCATTTGAGATGAGTGATTCTGGAAATATCTAAGATGGGAGGGTCCCAGTAATTTTTCCTTCCTTACCTGTTCAATGTTTAGAACATAAATTAGGCAAAATAAGTAAGGAAAGATAAAACAACTACTAATAAACTGCTGTAGCCACTCACCACATTTGGATAAGCATCAGAAAGGACTGCCATTCTCCTTTTTCCACCATATATTTCTCCTGCAGCAATATACACCTGAATACTGCCATCAATATCCAGTGCCCTTAATATCAAAGCAGTCTCTTCTGGTGTTAGGGGGCAGAGGCCATCTTTCCTTTTCAGGTCAGAATTGATAACCTTCTCTTTCCACCATGGATATGCATACCTGTGTCCAAACGGATTAGCTACTCAGAAGTCACAAATAGAACTAAACAAAACCCACCACTATGACTTTATACCTCATTCTTGTCAGCTCTTCTGCCTCTTCATTGGAGCAGCCATGAGTACATCCGGAGAAAGCCAACATATCCATTTCGTATCTTAGATGGAGAACCAGAAAAGGGCCAGTCTGTCGCAGGATTCTGACTGCCAGCCTTCCCAACTCTTCGATCTGAGAAGTGAATCTCAAAGCAGAATAATTTACTCGGCAGCGCAGCTTCTGGATCTCCAAAGGCAGACCATTATTGGCAAGCCGTGCATCTGTCCTGTTGAAATGCACAATCTTGTGCTTCTTTATTAAGGGAAGAATCTGGTTACCAGACAAACATATTTATCAGCACAAGTGTAATATTATTGCCATTGGATACCTCTGCTAGTATAATGCTTCAAAAGGCTTACCAACCTGATTCTGGTAATAAGACAGATCTGACCAGCTAACAGGTGGCATAGAGTAGACCATGCCCAGCTCAACCCTCCTTTTCAGTCTAGGTGGTAACACTTTCAGTATTCGCACCTCAGCTCTCAATGAAGTGATAAAATGATCGACATCAAATATGTCTTGGAACTCACTGTTATATTAAGGAACACGGCTTTAGTTCTAGAAACTAGAAAGTACTATGGAAATTTATAAAAACACATCAAGTCTGTAGCTCATCAAGTTACGAAAGACCAGCCGTGTGAGACATGAATTAGAAGTGCAGACACACCTAGGATCAGCCCAAAATGATGTTTTATCCAACTCTGGTACTATGAGTGTCACATTCAAATATCTTGCAATAGCAACCATGTCACAAATCTGAAGAAAAAAAAATTGTGCCATTAGTAATGTTGCAAAGCTAAAGCAATAGCAGACTACAAGTGATAAAAGAGCCCAACAAATTTGAACTCAACCCCTAACAGTAAGATTGAATCCTTACCGCTGCTCGCATTTGGTTAAGCCCACCATTGCATGAAACCATGATATACCCATTATTTCTATAGATTCCTAGAGATAAATTCATCAAAAACTCCATATGAGAAACATAGATCCATAAACAAGCTTCATCATGTATTAGCCAATGAAAAAATGTAAGGAAGCTACATAGCTGTATTGGATCTATAGTGCACAAATTAAATTAACCTAGATGCAATAGCAAGAACAGTCAGTTTATTTTAGCAACATAAAATGAGAACAACTGACACAACATTGACATGGAAAATTCTGCAACTGGTAGAAATGACATAAATTGTCATCAAGAATATGGTTCCAACGGAAGAGTACCACCAAAAATGACTTGAATACATATAGCAGTCAATTGAAAGAACCAAGATTCGCCGTACTAAGGTGTACCACTCGGTCCGGGTGGTATGTACCAGTCCAATAAGGGATCGGTATGGACAGTACCTACCAATCTTTTAATACATCTCACCATACCACGTGTTAGTACATCGACATATACCGTACCGACGATCAGTCATTAAGCATTAGGTACAATTAAAGACAATTAGCAAGAACAGACTAATTGTTCAAAGAAAATAACATCAATTAGCTGAACAACAAATTAGATTAACAACGAAGAACAAATTCAAAGAAAATAGATTTCACTAACTAGTCCATGACACCAAGCAATGGAAGCATAAATTGTTCAAAAGAAAAAATAAAATAAAAGACAATATGTAAACATAAATTTCTCAGTAATATGTAAACACAAATCGATCAAGAGAAATTAAAAGATTTTGTAAGCACTTATGGGATTTCATTTATATAGCAAGCAAAGACATAATATTAAACAGTAACAAATGTAGAAGTTTTCTTTGTATATTGGATGATGAACACAGAGAACTCACTTTTTGGGGGAAGAACGATCTTCTTGACTACGGGAGCGGTTTCATTGGCCAGGAACGATGAATCTGAAGGGATCAAGCAAGACGGCCAACCTTTCAAGACACGCGGCCCCCATGTCTCCCCCAGCGCCGTGAGCTGGAGGACGCATGTCCAGAGCAGCACTGTGCTCGTCGTCCGAATCATCCATAGCTTCAACTTTGATCTATTCTTTAGCTTCTCCGCCTTCGCCTCACCACCGATCTTGTGCTTGCGATGCCTCTCTCCACCGCACTCAGATCCCATCGTCCTCTCGAGCCGGCACATCCTCTGAATCCAAAATGCACCGCCCCCCATAAACAATAACTCTAGAACAACTCCTCTCCCATTCTAATTATCGACAAACAGAATACACTTTTTTTTCCTTTCTTCGCAACCAAAATCAAGAGAAAACCAAGACGAGTCTGCCTTTCCACTCAATGCAGCTCGACGCAGCAATTCAGGACCCCCGACGCACTTCATATACCGTCGAAGAAAACCATGCTTGCCATCTAAAACTCAAAATTTAGACCCAACTGTCTTTCCAATCCCGAAACCACCCAGAAAAAAGAATCCAAAATTCCGATCTTTCGCCGCTTTAAGCTACCAAAATTCACCGTCTGCTCAGGTAGCGAGTATCAATCAAAACCGAAAACACGGTCACCTTCCACAAAAGGCCACGCGCCCCGTGGGAAGTTGCCAAAGAAAGGCCAAGAGGATTGTTTTTGACCCACACGCTGGATCTGGAGGGGCTCAGATGGCGATTTCGACTGCTGAACCGGCGCTATGCGTCCGAAGATCGCAAGAGGCGGGGGGGGGGGAGCGCTAGCTCCGGCGTCTCCGATCCCCCTGCATTGCGATCCGAGACAGGGAATGTTGTCGCCTTCGGAAGGGGGCGTCGGTGGCGAACCGTTCTTATGCTACGGTCGGCGTGTTGTGTCCGAACTCACCGCTCCGTATCACCTTTCACCGCGGTTAGATCACGATTAATAATACCCTTCTCGACTGACTACGACTTTGCCCACCACACATTACAACTGGGTCCCACAAACACTTCGTGCCATCGAACTACAGAAGTCAGAAGGGTAAACCGAGGGTAGATCCGATGGGTAATCTAGGTTTGGATTTTTAACCTTCGGTCTGCTGTCGCTGTAAATCGACGTCAAAAAAAAGTGCCACGTGGAAGCATCACCCCGTACGTGGACAAGACGGCTAACATTCATTTCATTTCTTTGGGCGATTTATGTCTCAAAACTTAACAACCTTATGATTCAAATATTTTATTAAAATGTAAATGATATTTTTCAATTTTACTGTCGCTTTAAAGTTGATTTGCTTCATAACAATAAGAGTATATAAGAAATTTAGGGAAAAAAAAGAGTATTGTGTGTCAAAAATTAACATCCTTTTTCATTGTTCTTGATAATAATTATTTCCTTTTGTTGTTATTCTAATTTAATTTTTCAGTTGAGATTTGATACACTACAAATAATGGTGGATGCATTGTACAAAACTTAATGTGATTAGAAACGGATTTTCATAATAATAATAATATATTATGGGGATTTTTCTTATTTCTCAGAATAAAGAACAGCAAATAGTAAAATAAAATTCATATAAATTGAATTAGAAAAGAATTAGTGTTGTTTTCACCCCAAATCTCAAGTGGTGAGGGCTCTTCTTATAAGGGGAAATAAAATAAAATAAAATAAAACAACCGTAAAGGTGATGAAATTAAACATTCACTGAGTAATTGAGACAGTTATGATGATTAATTAAAAAGCTAAAATATTTAATCATGTTAAAACATAATTAAATAAATATCAAATGTGTGTTTAGAATTAACTTGGAACAATGATTAAATAAAATATTATTTTTCAGAGGTACTGATTTTGAGACAAAATTCTCAGGAGATGAACTATGGATTTTCCTGTCAAAGTGCAAGAAATTCCCAATAATAACAATTTATATTTTTTGTGAAATAAAAAATTAAAAAATAAATAAATTAAAAGCTTGCCTTGTAAAGCCATGCCACACTTACTTAGGAGTTGAATGTGATCCATTCGGAGTACCCAATTCAAGCCCCATCGATATTTTTGTAGGTATGTGCCGACCCATTGCGGTTCGTCCCTCCACACCTACCCACGTCCCGAATCGAGAAGCGAGATGGGCCCTGTTGGGCCCCATCTAGCCCCGCTGGATCCCACCCCGGCGGTTAATGCGGGCGCCGTTGCCTCCGCTGGCCCCAGGTCGACACTCTGCTCCGTTTGAACCGCAACGCCACTGGCCTCGCCCGACACGTTGCGGCTCCGCCGGCGACCTCGGCCCTCTTCCTCCCCCCGGGTTGCGGACCCATCCCTCTTCCTTCCCTATAAAGCAAGGCCTGCTTCCCCGTTTCTTCCACCACACTGCCCCATTCACCTATCTCCGATCCTACAGCTTCGATTTCGCTGGAAAATGTATCGCGCCACCGCTCTCGTCGTCCTCTTCGTGGCCGCGGCCGGCTTCGCAGCCGCTGCCGACGCCCCGGCACCCGGACCCAACGCCAAGACTGAGCAAACGGCGCCGATCCATTCTCCAGCGAAATCCCCCACCACGGCTCCCACCCCCGCCAGCTCCCCGGCTACCTCCGCGGTCTCCGGCCCCGCCAACGCTCCCGCTCCCGCAACCGCGGCGCCCGCGAATGCTCCGGGTCCCGCGACGGCCCAGGGCCCCGCAGCTGCGGCACCAACGACCACCACCTCGCCATCGTCCTCACCCGCCGCGGCGCCGGGCCCCAATACCTTGGATGACGAAGATGACATCCCGACTGATGGCCCCATCCCCGGAAGCCCCCCAGAGCCGTCCGTTGCCGCTTCCCCGGAGGATGATCTGAGCCCGACGGCGACGACTAGCAGCGCGGGAGCTTCTTTGGCAGCCGGCACCGCCTTCGGCGCACTCTCCGCCGTTTTGGTGGCCGTCTTGGCTTTCTAAAGTTTCAATTGGATTTGTCCAAATTAATTTGGGAGCAATTCTCCGTCTTTAATAAATGAATGGGGCATTTTTTTACATATATATATCTCTCGCATTTTAATAAATAAATTTTAAATTATCATAAATCATATATATATATATAGTAAACAAATGTTATCAATTTTTAAGCATGACTAATATAAACTAAAAATACAATATATTTATGTAACATATAGAAATTGATTTTAATATATAATTACTCACTAAAACTAGTGATGATAATCACAATGTCCACATGGCGCGTCCTTATCGATTTAGCATCGATTGATGCACCCAAGCATAAAAAGGAGCGTATAGGGGATGTCATCGGATCATTCATGTTTATCGCATCTATAGCGATGCCACGTATAAATTAAATGCCCATTTCGGATCTGATCTAAAAGATTGGGCAGAGATCCTCATTTTGGATCCGATCCAAACCTCGTTTCATGACATCACCACAGTGCATACATACAATGGATTTAACTACGATTATTTTTATTTCCTTTTAGAATAAATACAACTTATTAGATACCAAATTAGCTTGGGATAAACTCGATTGGAATTCTCCTCCGTATCGCTCGGCCAATGGGTTAGCAAAAATATTTTGGAGATATTTTTGTTAACCCATTGGACTAAGTCATCAATGCAATAGATAATCATGGTTTAACAATAATAAATTCTCATCCGTTGTCAAACTACAAGTGATAGTTGACTTAGTCCAAGTGTAACTCATAATCAATAGTATAATATACATGAAATTTAGTCTGATGGTTGGTTTCATAATGTCTAAAATCCTATCTATGAGTAGTAGCAATTTTTAACTTTGATCCCTTTCGATGTTGAATACTTAGTATATCACAAATCGATTTAGTGAGATAATTGATCTTTTAATTTAGACAAAACTAACATCATTATGGTTGAGCCATCCAATCTAATCCCATGTGATTAAATGGGTTAATTATATATTATTCTTATCGTAAACTTAAAAAAATTATATTGAAATATCTAAAATTATAAAAGTGAAACATATAGTTCAATTTATCCTAACGCTATCAATTTTATTGATGAAAGCATAAAAATAATAGATAATTTTTTTTAAAAATATTTCAGTTGATGGTGACAGACGATAACGTTATTGAGTGTTGCGGGTGACTATGTTGATGAAGAAAGTGGTGATGAGATATGAGGATCACTCTGCATATGCATCGATGTTGACGTCATTGTCGAGCGACGAAATGGTTGCTCGACATCTACATGATCTCCTTCGAAATTGGCATAAGGAGGTCGAGGAAGTAAGCATCACAGTCTCAAGCACGTCATCAACTGTGCGCCCTCCATGCCTTCATCCTCCTCAGGTGGCACTTCCGTCCATTGCTTCTTAATTGCCTTCTATCCTCTTATACCACAACCAAGAAAAGAAATGGAAGACACTGCTAGATGCAACACCCAAGGTTGAGGGTCTTGCTATGGTGGCTATGATGATATTGTAGGAAACTGAGGCGGGGACGAGGATGTCGAATGTGAACCCATTGAAGAAGACGATCCACAACAATGATGAGAATGAAGATAGTAGCTCCTGTTGCTTTGAGGAGCCATGCTGACGATGAAAGGTTATGGCGGTCTAGAGGATAAGTTGAGGTGGAGGAGTGAGCAGCAAAGAGAAGAAAGCCTCTAAGGTTTCATCTCTCTCTCTCTCTCCCTCTCTCCATTGGAGGAGATCATGATGGATTTCGAAATGATTGTAGGAAAGAGATAATTTTGTAGCTGCTCTTCTCATTCACAACAACAACTCGCGATCATCAACCAAACGTTGAAGTTATTTTTTTATCAATTATTTTTGTGCTTCTATTAGTAAAACTAACGACGGTAGATAAATAAAACTAGAAGTATTGATGATTATAGGGATTCTAAATTTTTTAAATTCAAAAAGCGAGATGTTAAAAGAGATCTAACTACCAGAGATAATATATAATTGGCTCAGATTAATCTGAGGTGCTACGTAAAGTAAACACAACATCATTTTCAACAAATAAAAATTATCGAAATTTTGTTGAATTTTCTTTTTTTCTTTTATTTTTTAAGACGTACATCACAACTTCTTACGGTATTTTTCTTTTTATGTTATTCTTATTTGTCAACGGTACGTTGCTGCGCATAAGTTTCACCTGCGGTACACTTTAATCATAAGCTTCGCCTCCTTCTCCGGTTTCAAAAACTTCAAATCCCTCCCCGACACCCCGAACCGTGTTGTCGTTCGCCCACTCGGGAAAATTAGGGTTCCGAAGCCCGCCCTTTTCGACCCAGATCGGGCCGACCCAGGGCGGCGATGACGACGATGGAGCACCTTTTCATGCAGATCTTCGACCGGAAGGCCTGGATCGAGGGCCAAATGCGGCAGCAGGCCGGGTCGTACGGCCAATCCCTCGCTTACAACCTTCTCGCCGACGGCGGAAGGCCTCCACCCTGGCTCTGGAACGCGGGGTTGGACGCGCCTGGCTGCGCTGCCCCGGGAGGTACCCTCTTTCCCTTCATCTCCGCACGGTTCTCCAATGTTTCGATTAGATTCAGTTTCTTTAATCTTTTGAGCTGTAGAATGCAACCAGGATTCTTATTTTTCGTATTGAATGCCGTCGAAGTGAGCAATTGGAGTTTCGGGTAGCGTTTTGAGGCCCTTACATTTTTTTTTCCTCGCATCACTGCTCTGCTGCTCTTCCTGTTTCCTTTTTCTTCTTGGCTTCGACGAAACGAAAGATTTTCTGTCAAAATCTTTGAATTATTTGGTTCTGTTTGTTGCTTGGAGTTTCCATGTTTTGTTATTAAGACGAACTGTCTGCCTCCTTTTTATTGGCTAAGTTGTCGATGCATTGCACTCAAGTCATCAAATCCTACAGTCACAAGTAACTTCCTGTATTCTGTTTTAATTG